TGAGGATGAGGAGGGAGAAGAGGAGGAGGAGGAGCGCCCTGACTCTGGTACTGACCCGACCCTACACACTCCTCACACATCACTGACCTCTGACCCCTGACCCCAGCTCTCCTCTTGGAGATGAATAATAATGATAAAGACATTACAGGCCTCTCACAGCGCCACACTGTGGTCATTATTTAGCCACAGCTGCCCTGAGGCAGACTGCACACACACCAACCACACACACAAGCAACAGGAAGTGTCCTGACTAAAATGTGGACATATCAGCTTGTCAAAGCCTGATCCTGTCAGATCTCAGAAGCTCAGAGGCCAGGTTAGGACTTGGATGGGAGACCTCAGGGAAAATCAGGTTCCTCGGGGGGCACCAGCTGGTCGGCATCGTTGTGTCCTTAGGCAAGGCACTTCACCCACATTGTCTAGGGCAGCTGTGGCTACAGTAGTATCTTACCACCACAGAGTGTGGCGTGAATGAATAATGATCTGTAAAGTGTCTTTGAGTGTCCAGAAAAGCTCTGTATAAAACTGATGCATAATGATTATGATTAAAGACACAATAACAGCTGTACTGGTCAGTTTTCATTTGAGCCTGAGTCACTGATAACCCACTATTGACAAGAGAATATATTTTTTCTTAACTATCATGATCTTTAGATAAATGAACAAACTTTGAAAATATAATTTTTTTTTTCATCTTTGTTTCTCTGTCAGTGATGGACACAACTGCAGACACAACAAGACATGAAGACCACTCTCAGACAACCAGGTAATCTCTGTCAGGTGCCTCTCATGCCCTGCCTTTCTGAACCTATTACCTATTTATACTGTATACAGAGAAGACGCTGAACTTTGTGTCAGTTTTTGTTTCATGTGGATAGAACCAATAATTACAGAGACATGAACCATAAACCAGGTCAACAAATCTGTGATGTGACAGCTCTGTTTAACCTAGAGGGACTCTACAGTGTGCTGATGTCGTGTGAACCTCTTCTTGTTCTTGTTCGTCTCTTCAGGGACTCCCCTCCTCAGGTGCTGCCCCCTCCCTCTCCTCGCCTCTCCAAGCGCCTCTCTTCGTCCCCGATGCCCTCCCGCTCTGGCTCCACCACACCAATCGGATCTCGCAAGAAAGTCATCGCGCCAACAACGGACTACCAGGACACGGTGCCCGGAGAGTTCGAAGAGAAGATCCGACAGCCCAAATCTGCCACACAAACGAACACTAACAACCAGGACTCCAGACCACAGACGCCTCTGAGTGAGTATTCCAGGAAAGAATTCTCTGCCCGACCATCTCCAAAGCTAACACGAGCCAGCTCCAAGGTGTTTGAGAAAGTCAGAGGGTTGGAGGAACGCCGGAGAAGTTTGGATATTCCAGAAGGATCGGTTTCAGGAAGATCGTGGGCAGGTTTCAATCGAGCGGGGTCGGTGGATTCGGACGATGGCGGAAGTCGTTTGGGAATTTCTCGAGAGAGTTCACGAGAGGATTTACGCGAAGCTTTAAAAGAAGACGCGGCGGAGAGAAGATCCATGTTCAGGCAAAGAGCGGCGTCTCTGGAAGATAAACCGCGCTACTCGCAAAAAGTCCAAGACATCGAGAATAAATTTACAGAAGAGCTGCAGCGAATCAAGAAATTAGTAGGAAAACCGCACATGAAGAAGTCTTTTTCGACGGAACAGCTGACGTTAAAAGCGAAACAGCGGCAACCTTTCCGCAAAATCGAACCGATACCTCCACAAGTCCTGCAAAAGCTCCAAGAACGTGAACGCGCTCAATGGGCCAGAGAGCAAAAGGAGAGAGAGTTACACGAGCAGAAACCGCAAATCAGCTCTAATATTTTAGGAAGTCGTTTAGGCGAAGTCCCCGGTCCGCCCGAGTCCATGCAGTTAGCGGATTTACCTGGACAGCGCCCCATACGTGAGCTCAGCAGAGTCAGCCCGGTCACAGAAATCGTGCAAAGATCGTCGTCTCCGCTCGTGCACCAACTCGAATCGTACCGCAAAGTGGAGAAGAGACCGCCGAGTCCGCTGGTACAGAGAGTGACGCGCTTCCCTGAGTCCAACCACGACAAAGAGGAGCCGACGGGCAGGAAGACGCCCATTGAGGTGGCGCTAAGGAAGGTGGAGCTGAGACCGGAGAGCCCCCTGGTGCAGAGGAGGGGGGCGGAGGCTAATGCGCTGGCTCCTCCCAAACCGCCGAGAGTGTACGCCGAGGAGGAGCGGAGGAGTGTGCCCAGGATTGTGGTGCAAGAAGAGGAAGAGGAGAAGATGGAGGTGGAGGAGAAAGAGACGCTGCAGACCACCAGCAGCAGAGAGGGGGCGCCAAAGAGCAGGAAGAAGAAGATAAGGCCCATGTCTCCAGAACAAGGTGAGAAACATGACTTGATTTCTCCAAAGTACCATAAAACACCAAATAATAGCCAGGTTTCAACTAACCGCTGGGTGGGTGCAGGTGTATATTTTGATAAATAACCTCAAGTTCCAAATAAATGACGAGTCTAATATATTAAAAAAATAATAATAAAAATAAAAATCTGCTTGCTGCTTTTACCAGACTGGTGTGTGACTGAATGAGTGGGCTGCAATATTCTTTCAAGTTGCTGACAAAAAAAAAAAAAAAAAAAACTCATGTCGGTAACGGAGGGAATGAAATATGCAGCACTTTTGGGCAATAAATCCAAACAGTGATAACTCTTGGTTCTCACTTCCATATCCTTAACAAACTGGTTTGAATATTTGCTTCATATAGTTTTCTACCATATGGTACAAGATTAGGTTGAAAAACCTCTTACTTTTTGACTAATGAGATTTTTTATGAAGAAAGGTCATGGTAACGGAGGGAAAAGTAACGGAGGGAAAATTGTGCAAACAAGTAGAAGGTGCAGGATTTTGCATAATTTGTCGCTTTTTTCTTCCAAATACTTTAATATTACTTCAAAATGAAAAGTAACTATGTCTATAAAATATGTCAGTCCTTCCAAGCAAATTTTTTAAATCATTTTAAATACATTTTTTCTTGAAAAATCATGTGCCTTCATCAACAGTTCAAAGATGGAATAACATCAGTTTATTTACATGATTTGCAGGTCTTTGAAATTTGGGAAATAATTTTTGTTCCATGTTTCATACATGGTCTGTTTAAAACATATGGAACTTTAGAACCAAAAATGGTACAGAAAAAAGGTCAACAGTTTCATAAACTAGAGTACATATGTATCTGTTCAATACATTTTTATATCAGATGCATTAACTTGAATTTTTGGCCTTGATGTTTACTTCTGCTTGACCGGGCCCTTCTGTGAAATCACGATTTTGAAGTGACGTAAAAAAGACAGAAGGTGCAACACAGCAGGAAATTCATCAGTTTTTTATGAGTTTTGAAACTTCCAACTGTTCAACTTGTTGCCTTCTGGCTGGAGCTTCAGGTCAATTCCAGCTACGACCAACAGACTCAGGGACAGCTTCTTCCCCAAAGCCATCACCATACTTAATGAGAACTGTTCATTTGTTTAATTTATTATTATGTCTTGCACTTTGACGGAGCAGCTCTGAATTTCATTATACTGAATAATGACAAGGCTTTCTATTCTATTTTATTCTATTCCAATATTACTTCAGTTTGGCATTTTGGAGGAAGCAGCAATGTGATTATAGCTGCTGTGACATGAGAGGAAAGTTGTGGCAAAGGGGCAAGGAAAGGCAAGGGGTGGTGAGGCAGGAATCGTGCCCACAATGTAGGAAAAGTAGTCGCCAGGCCATCGCATAACGTTGATGCCCCCTCTAAGGCGTGCTGCAAAAACTGTAAATTATAGTCCTACTGGTTAAAAGAATTTGAGTACCATATTTTACCAGTTTTGCTGAACAAGATTTTTGTGAAGAAGGAATTAATCACCTGTCCCAGATTGCCACTTGGTCTCAAATAAATGCCTGGTCTGCTATAGAAAATGTGACCAATTTAAATGTACTTTTTTGAGCTTTTAACCAAATTAGAGATTAGTTCCGTCATTAAAAATATACCTGGAGTTGTATTTCACATCATTCACCCTGGTTTCATTAATCCACTGTAAAAAAAAATAAATAAATAATAATAATAATTTGCCTCTGAGCCTCCCAACACTCTGTTTAGAAACCGTGCACCATTTTTGAGTCCATAAATCGTGGCCAGACTCTTTAAGCATGTCGGTCATTCCTTCTGTATTCTCATATATTGTGTTTAAATCTTCTGTTCAGACTCTTCAGATGACTCCTATGTCTCGGCCGGTGAGGACCCTCTGGAGGCCCCTGTGTTTGAGTTTCCTCTGCAGGACGCCGTGGCTTTTACTGGAGCTGATGTGGTCCTTAAATGCATCATCGCCGGAACACCCACACCTGAAGGTAACACAGGCCTTTACAGTTTTAAAAAAGTAAACATTTGAGAAGGAATATGAATCAGTGAATAGTAAATGTGCTTTTGATTGCTGTTTTGTCCCCGTCTTACACCGAGGCCTCCTGTGAGTGGAGAGCTCTGGATGAATGGGGTAAATGAACCTGCTCTCTTCCCTCCCTGCTGGAGACTGTTCCTCTCAGGGTCTACATACCAGCTCACATTTAGTCCAATGAGATTCATTTGGTCTTCCAATATTTTATGTTATTAGGTTCTTTTTTCAGACCTAGAGTTTTGTTTCATACCTGACAGTTTGGACTGCTCACTAGTGTCTTCCTCAGAGTGGTCATGTGATGTTTCTGTGATGTGTCTAGTCAGCTGATCTAAACAGGTTTTGGCGCTGTCTTCCTACCAGTGGAGGCAGGATAACAGTGCCATCTGCAGTCCGACTTCCTCAGGACAGTATCCCAGGTGTGTGAGAGTAAAAAAGCCCCTCATCATTGGGAACAGAGGAAAACAAACATCGCTGCTGGATTAAAGAGGCAATCGAAATACGAAAACATGCCCACAGGACTGTAAACCGGGACGAGGGGCTTTTTTATTCTCACACACCTGGGATACTGTCCTGAGGAAGTCGGACTGCAGATGGCGCTGTCATCCTGCCTCCACTGGTAGGAAGACGGCGCCAAAATCTGTTTAAATCAGCTGACCAGACACGTCACAGCAACATCACGTGACCACACTGAGGAAGACACTAGTGAGCAGTCCAAACTGTCAGGTATGAAATAACACTCTAGGTCTGAAAAAAAGAACCTAATAACATAAGCTCACATTTACTTTAGGGTGGCTCCAACTGACTGATATTGACAAACTGTGGTCCCTCTCTCTGTAACTGCTGCAGTGATCCTCATCATTTTGGTCTTAAAATGTTCATATTTAGCTGTTTTGTCCGTTAATAAAAACCTTTTCCTAATAAGGAGCTTGCTTCACAGGAGCCAAATGCTGTGGGTGATGTCACACTTCCTTAACCCTTAACCTTAAGCCCGTTAGACACCAAAAATATCCAAGATGGCAGCCATTTTTCAAGATGGTCGTGGCATTGAAGAAACGCTAATACAAAAATTAAATCACCAAAGCTGCAGATGATTGTTCAGTAACAGTAAACCTGAACAGGCAAACAAAAGAGCAGCTTGTGATCCAGTGAACTCAGATGAAGGCCATTCAGAAATTAAAAGAACTGTGCAGAAGTTTTTTTATGTGATAACACAGAAGCAGCTTCTGAACTAAGACAAACATCAACAATGCAGTAAAATGATGAATGAATGTGCCAAAAATCTTAATGATGGCAAACTTTTTTTCGATAGTTCTTCAGCACAAACAGCACTATGAATGGTTCTATTTTAATGGCTCTATTTCTGAAATTAACCTACGTCAACATGTTGCATTTTATTTGAATTTTGCTTGTGTTTTTATTTCTACTTCCCAGATGGTTATTAGGATACTTCTGGTTTCAAATTGTGAGAAAATTTTATGAATTTTGTGTGAAATTAAATCTATTTTGGTGTAAAATGAGTTGAATACCTGACATTGCATTACTCTATATGCATATATTTGCAAATGTGTGATTTATTCCATTCATTTTGATTAAGAACATGATGACTTATTGTCTTTTAGCTCATACTGATGTGAAATCAGTTGTTTGGTTGGCCATCTTGAAAAAGTACCTCCATGTTGGAATATTTCAGGTGGCTAATGGGTTTTTCTAAAAGAGCATGATGTGAGCTAAATCTATGAGAAATTTGGTACTTGTACCACAAACTGAACGATTCTTGTGGTTTGGAGACCTAATCTGCTCCACTTAAACATTCACAGTAGGTCAGATCGTCGAGCTGAGGTGGTCCTGTCCTTGCTCTGTGACCTGGATAGTTAGAAATGGCTTGTCATTCATAACATTTAAAGATGTGGTTTCTGCTGCTCCAGTGTCGTGGTCCAAAGACTCCAGTCCGGTCTCTGGTCTCGGTCTGAACTACACAGTGAAGGTGGAAGGAGAGAGGCACAGTTTATGGATCAGATCTGTGAGAACGGCCAACGCCGGAGTCTACTGTGTAACGGCGAGCAACCAGGTCGGGACTGTCTCCAGCTCGGCTACTCTCACTGTCAAAGGTGAGTCCTGAGTCCTGTTTTTAGCTCTATTTAGACTCACAAAGATTGTACCTTACTTTTAAAGGAAGTGTGTGTAACCTGTCTGAGTCGCCAGAGCCTTAACCCTCTCAGGCTCAAACTAAATTTTAGTAACAGGAAACAATCTGATATTTGGGGAAAATGGTCATATGGGGTAGTAATATACAATCCTGACTTTTTTTTGAGAGAGACCTTCACATCCAGTGTGTTCTGGGATGTTGCAGATTTGGATTTGTGGTAAATTAACACTGAAGACTGAAAATGATATGAACATAACTTTATGTGTAAACCACTGTTCATAACAATGAAAACATAAAGCTCAGTGTAACAGCTTCACAGTCGCAGAACAACACTTTTTCATGTAGTACTCCAAGAAACAATTTGGCCGTTTGTGTGTAGTCATTCTTACACAGTCTGCATCGTCCACATTTATCAGCATGGATGGGAAAAAAGGCTCCTGAGTAAAAAAGGCTCATAAAATATGGATTTGGAGTAAGTAGGTAATTAGCATTTAGTTGTTGCAAATCTGCAGTGCCTGCCTGGAGAGGGTTAACCTGCAGGTTGACAACATTTTTTACTCTCAGTTTATGTTCAGGCTCATGTGAAGCTCAGAACTTCCAAAATTCCCTTCCTGAGCTGCAGAGGCTGCACTAGCACTGCCTCATGATGCTGCAGGTGCTGGGGTTTAGGTAGAGACCGTTCAGATCAGAGAGAGAAGACTTTTAGGTTTAAACACACTGGGTTATAAAAATGGCCCTCTTCTCTCTGGTATATTCTTGTATTGTCGTCTGTGGCCCGTTTTATTCTTGTGCTTTAAATATAAACGTTATAGTTTCCATAGCAACAGAGTGGGAGGCGGGAGCATCTTCACAGGAACAATCAGAGGCTATTGTTTGGACACAGTTTAGTCCTGTCATTATCTCAGTGTTTAAAGACCCCTGTTTGTGCACACTGTCCTGCTTTTACTGTGCAAAACTTAAACACACATGTTACGCTGAATCTAGGCTACATGTTTGGGCTTTTAACATAGTTGTTGGTTGAAATAGTACTTCAAAGTAGTACTCAAATAAAGGTATTGTCTTATTTTAAACCTGTCCTTGAGCATGCACATCTGAGAGAGACTATGGAGACACAGGGAGGGCATCTGACACATTATTGCTTCATTTGCAGAGAATGTTCCGGCTCCTCGCTCAAACCTGGGCCTCCCTCGGGACATGAGCAGCCCGATCACCTCAGACGAAGAGTACCTGAGCCCCCTCGAAGAGAACCCAGAGCCAGGACCAGAGCCCGTGAGATTGGACCCACGCTTCAGACAGCCCCCTGCTTTTCTGGTGAGACCTGGTTTAGTCCTGGTTTAGTCCTGGTTTAGTCCTGGTTCAGTCCTGGTTTAGTCCTGGTTCAGTCCTGACTTAGATCTGCTTTTGCCCTGGTTTAGTCTCGGTTTAGTCCTGGCTTAGACCTCCTTTACTCCTAGTTTAGACCTGGGTTAGTCCAGGTTTAGTCCTAGTTTAGACCTGGTTTTTAGACCTCATTTAGTCCTAGTTTAGACCGGATTTAGACCTGGTTTAGACCTCATTTAGTCCTGGTTTAGACCTCATTTAATCCTAGTTTAGACCGGGTTTAGTCCTGGTTTACATCTCATTTAATTCTAGTTTAGACCAGGTTTAGTCTTGGTTTAGATCTCATTTAATCCTAGTTTAGACCGGGTTTAGTCCTGGTTTAGATCTCATTTATTTCTAGTTTAGACCGGGTTTAGACCTGGGTTAGAACTTGGGTCATAGTTGGGTTAGTCCTCATTGAGTCCATAGGTTAGTTCCAAGGTGAGACTTTTTATAGTCCTGGTTCAGGTCTTGGTTTTGTCCTGGTTTAGTCCTAGTTCAGTAAGCGTTTAGACCTGGTTTAGTTCTGGTTTAGTCCAGGCTTTAACAATGACACAGAAATAACTTAAAGGACACCAAGAAGAGGCCACAGATTTGTACTTTGCATTGTGATTCATTTTTATTTTTATTTTTAAGTTTTTAAGTTATTTTTTGTTGGTTTCCTAGGCGACGATAAGCGATCAGACGGTGGTGGAGGGGCAGGAGGTGTCCATGTCTGTGCGAATCAGCGGACAGCCCAAACCCATGCTCTACTGGTGAGAAAAGTTACACAGTGCTGCTTTAAAAGGCCCAGATCATGTCATTATTTTGCCTTGAATGCTCCACAGTATGGCATTAAACTTATCTGTGTATACATGGAGACAAACAGATGACACCAGCATCCCAAGTTACAAGTTAGATCTGTGGAGAGATGAGAAACAAACATATATTAGTTGTGCTTTTTGGGGGAAATGTATTTTATAAAATCAGAGACCAGCAACTGACATTTCCTGTGTAAAGTCAAGTTGTAGTAATAAGAATAGAAGAGAACAACAGACTGTTAACGTCACATATGAACAGTTCTTCAGATAAATATAACATAAACAACAGAACAGAACAAGTTTAACCAAACTCTCCATCTCACTCCAAATCACTAAATCCATTCAATTCTTCATCCTTGGTGTCACTTCTGAGCAACTCGACCTCCAGAGGTAGAACTCCAGTTAGAATTATTCGTGTCTTTGTGAATCTCGACAGGATGGTTTCAGTGTCACTGAAGTCCAGACGTTGTCCATCCATCCAGTGACTTCAGGAAAGTTTCATGGTGCATCCTCCTGGTGTCACAAGTTTCTCTCTCACTCCAAACTTTCTTTCTGCTGCTCGATCATCGTTTTCAGCTGCAGGTTTCACGACTTGCAGTTTGTAATCTGCAAAATCTGCAAGATTGATTTAGTTTTTTGGGGCATTTGTGTTCAGTCTTCTCAGTCTTTGTCTTTATAAGTTTGTTTAAATATTAAATTGTTCAGTGGTGCAGAAGTAATGGTGTGATCGACTGACATGATACAGACAGAACAGAGGCTCTTTCTGCAGGAGACATGTGCAGTAGAGTGAAGTGACAGTGGTACAGGAGGAACAGGAGCAACACATACTCACACACAAGCCTCTTGCTGCTGTCAATGTGAAAACTTTAATATATAAGTCGCAACAGAGTATAAGCCAAACCATGAAGAAAAGTGCCACTTATAGTCTGAAATATATGGTATGCAACTTGTCAAACCTGGTGTGATGTGCAGTAGTTTCATTAGTGGGATGCACGCTGACTGTGTTGTGATAGCGTTCTGAAGAAGTAGTGACTTAGCACGGAGAGCAAAGGGAGGGGGGACTCAGAGCATCACAAACATATGACGTTACATGTTGTTTTGCGTGAATATATAGTATTTCATGTGTTAGTTTTTACTCTATAGATGTGCAATACCTCTTCTTTAATGCTATACTGTGGAACATTACAAGCAAAGCAATAACATATCCATGGAGATGCAAGGGTTTCAACTTTTGGCAAACATTTCATTTTGAATTGTTAACTGCACCTTTAGTTTGTTTTAGATGTTCTAAAATCCTCTTAATGACAGCTGTTGGGAAAGAGCACTTGTAGCTGTAACTCTTAAAACTATGCATATGGTTTGTCCAGTGTAATTGTTATGTCAACATTAAATCATTGTTATTCTTTAATTGCCACGGCAACAGTGCTGATCTTCCCTTAAAGCCATGCAGGCAGTATTGGGTCGATTTGAACTGTACTTTGGGACACCACTCTAGTGTTGTGTTTGTGAGATACTGCAGAGGAGAGCCCTGTGTAGAGACTCTCCTCTGTTTCTATGACGACTGGAGACTCCAGTCACCATAGAAACTGGGAAAGTCCTCCGCTCCGAACCCATCCATTCATTTGTTTATTTATTATTTACATTTTATTTGCTGGACTTCCCCAAACAGAGGGTGAGAATCTGATACACAGTGGTCCAGAATTCTTTCTTCTACATTCTGAGCATGCTCGTTACTCACCATGATGAGTTTATAAAGCCCTGTTCAAACCAAACACGAATGGCGTGAACAAGGCGAATGATTTACATGTTACCCCTGTGTGAGAAGAATCCCTCAGTCGTCCAGGTAGACTCCATCGTTACCCCTATGTAAAGGCGCTGACCCGCCTGAAGTTCTGCGACAGGAATGACGCGAATTGTGACACGCAAATTTTCAAAATGGAGGAAGCTTGCGAAATTTGCCAAAGTTGACAATTTTGAACTTTCTGCAAATATTCATGTCACATCAACCAATCAGAGGCCGTGTTCTGATAGTGGCGTATAATGCTGAGACAGATGTGAACTTTCATTCAACATGGAGGAGACCTCACTGTTCCCAGGGGAAACGAGCCGATGTTTTACGATACCAGCGTGAGCCAGTACAGAGACCAGAATAAACTCCACAGAGCAGGACCTACACCACACTCTGTCCCCCTCTCATTTATTCTGGTCCCAGTCTCAGTCCCGCTCTGGTCCTGGTCTCAGTCCCTGTCTCAGTCCCGATCTGTTCCCGGTATCAGTCCCAGTCTGGTCAGCCTGTTCCAAGTCCACAATTTTTCCAAATGAAAACAGCAGATGCAGAGGACACTGTGCAGCTGCAGTTGATCCTTCTTGACTTGACTTTTTGTCAAGCAGCAAACTAAAGGTGTTTGACGTGATTTATTTGTGCCATTTGCGTTTGGTCTGATCAGGGCTTAAGAGTTTTACACTGCTCAGGGATCTGAGCTGTCATGGTAACTCTCTCCATGGACTTCATGATTCTCATACAATAAAATATTTTTATGAGATGCAGAGAGAACACAGTGGAATTATTTTGACCTGAAGAGCTGCTTATACAGCACATCTGTACTGAGACAAGACACATTTTGATTAGATACAAAAGTCAAATGATTCACAGTCACTTCAGAAAGTGGAGCCATTATTCAACCCCAAAGACATGAGTGTTTCAGCTGAAAGGACTTTAAGGACTTTTACTTTGGAGATTTCTTTCAAAAAACAGTGAATCTCCCATAGAGTTACTTAGATCTCTGCTCTCCACCTGAGATTATGAATGTGAACTCCATCAACTGAACCCATCTGTTGTTGAAGGTTCTTGTCCTTTTGCGCTCCAGGCTGAGTGTTTGTTTAAAGGTTCTTGTACCTCCTCCCTCCAGGCTCAGGGACAGAGTGACGGTGAAGTCAGGCCCTCGTCATGTGGTCAGAGAGAGAGAAGAAGACACGTTTGAGATGATCATCAAGTCTGCTCAGAAACCCGACTCTGGAGTTTACACGTGTAAAATCATCAATGAGTACGGCACCAAGCAGTGTGACGCCATGCTCAGAGTCACAGGTGAGAAACACGCTAAACACACTAAACAGGCTAAACAGGCTAAACAGGCTAAACACACTAAACAGGCTAAACACACTAAACACGCTAAACACACTAAACAGGCTAAACACTAAACACGCTAAACAGGCTAAACACGCTAAACAGGCTAAACAGGCTAAACAGCTAAACACTAAACAGGCTAAACAGGGCTAAACAGGCTAAACACACTAAACAGGCTAAACAGGCTAAAACACACTAAACAGGCTAAAACACACTAAACAGGCTAAAACACGCTAAACACTAAACACGCTAAACACACTAAACAGCTAAAACACGCTAAACAGGCTAAACACGCTAAACACACTAAACAGGCTAAACACACTAAACAGGCTAAACACACTAAACAGGCTAAACACACTAAACAGGCTAAACACGCTAAACAGGCTAAACACACTAAACACGCTAAACACACTAAACAGGCTAAACACGCTAAACACGCTAAACACGCTAAACAGGCTAAACACGCTAAACAGGCTAAACACGCTAAACACGCTAAACACTAAACAGGCTAAACACACTAAACAGGCTAAACACACTAAACACGCTAAACAGGCTAAACAGGCTAAACACGCTAAACAGGCTAAACACGCTAAACAGGCTAAACACGCTAAACAGGCTAAACACGCTAAACAGGCTAAACACACTAAACACGCTAAACACACTAAACAGGCTAAACACACTAAACACGCTAAACACACACTAAAACAGGCTAAACACGCTAAACACACTAAACAGGCTAAACACACTAAACAGGCTAAAACACACTAAACAGGGCTAAACACACTAAACAGGCTAAACACACTAAACAGGCTAAACACTAAACAGGCTAAAACACTAAACACGCTAAACACTAAACACGCTAAACACGCTAAACAGGCTAAACACGCTAAACAGGCTAAACACACTAAACACGCTAAACACACTAAACAGGCTAAACACACTAAACAGGCTAAACACGCTAAACACACTAAACAGGCTAAACACGCTAAACACACTAAACACGCTAAACACACTAAACAGGCTAAACACACTAAACAGGCTAAACACACTAAACAGGCTAAACACACTAAACACGCTAAACACACTAAACAGGCTAAACACGCTAAACAGGCTAAACACGCTAAACAGGCTAAACACGCTAAACACTAAACAGGCTAAACACACTAAACACGCTAAACACACTAAACAGGCTAAACACAGGCTAAACACACTAAACAGGCTAAACACACTAAACGCTAAACACTAAACAGGCTAAACACACTAAACAGCTAAACACACTAAACAGGCTAAACACGCTAAACACACTAAACACGCTAAACACACTAAACAGGCTAAACACGCTAAACACACTAAACAGGCTAAACACACTAAACAGGCTAAACACACTAAACACGCTAAACACACTAAACAGGCTAAACACGCTAAACAGGCTAAACACGCTAAACACACTAAACACGCTAAACACACTAAACAGGCTAAACACACTAAACACGCTAAACACGCTAAACAGGCTAAACACGCTAAACAGGCTAAACACGCTAAACAGGCTAAACACGCTAAACAGGCTAAACACACTAAACAGGCTAAACACGCTAAACAGGCTAAACACGCTAAACAGGCTAAACACGCTAAACAGGCTAAACACGCTAAACACACTAAACAGGCTAAACACACTAAACAGGCTAAACACGCTAAACACGCTAAACACGCTAAACAGGCTAAACAGGCTAAACAGGCTAAACACACTAAACAGGCTAAACACACTAAACAGGCTAAACACACTAAACAGGCTAAACACGCTAAACACACTAAACAGGCTAAACACACTAAACACGCTAAACAGGCTAAACACACTAAACAGGCTAAACACACTAAACAGGCTAAACACACTAAACAGGCTAAACACGCTAAACACACTAAACACGCTAAACAGGCTAAACACACTAAACAGGCTAAACCCACTAAGGTACAGTATGTATTGTGCTGTATGTTGCCTGTGTGTTCAGAGTGTTGGGTTTACATGTAATGGGGCACAGTGAGGCTAGTGTTTCTGTGGTGTCATCAGGCATGATCTCTTGAATCTCTCGAAATTTGCAGTTTTGAAGCCAAAATAGGTGACCTATGTGAATCGTGTAGATTCGATGAGAAAAGTCTTGGTCTTGTCTCAGACTTGAGTGTACTTGGGCTCAGTCTTGCCATGGGCATATTTCATTATGATCATATTTCATTATGGTCGCTGCTTTTGGCAATAAACTTGTACTGGTGTGCGGGGTCAGCCTTATCATCAGAAGAGCCTCTAGTCAGAAAATCCATGTTCAGGTAGTGTTACAAATTGTTACAAAGGAAATTGTATTTCAAGTTTTAAATATTTTAAAAAGTAAATATTAAAAGTAATAAATTAGGGTGACCAAACGTCTGTTTTTCCCCGGACATGTCCGTATTTTGCATCATGTCGGGCGTCCGGGTTTTACGGTGGCCGACGGGGGCAAACGCACTGCAACAGCTAATGCGTCTCATTTAGAGAAAACAATTTCAAGTACAGAAACGATGCAAATTCACAGGGTCAAACACAAGTTTAAACGAGGTACAACAAATACGTGGTACAGATGAAAAAAAGCGCTGCAAGAAACAAAGACAAATGCATCGTCATCAAATGCGCTGCAAATAGAGAAACGATGCAAAACGATGAAAACCAAGAAAACACCTGCAAAAGAAAAACGCTGCATAAAGAGTCGCCACACGGAAGTGCTCCAAACCTGCAGGGGGCGCGCTCAGTAGCAGTGTCCGCGGACCCCAAAGGCCGTGCTGAAATGAGACAGGTGTAGTTATTTTATTAGATGACTAACGCTAAATGCTAACAACACGCACCACGCAAATTACGTACACGAATCGGTAAAAAACATTACGCATGGGTACTCAAACTGTAGGAGATCAAGTTATTCTAATAATTCTCATCCAAATCTTATGGTTAAAAGCGAAAACTTATGTTTAACTTTTGCATAAACAAAATGGCTTTATTTCTGGAATACATCTAAAATAGACTAAATGACCTTAAAGTTTCAAAAACTGTGATGGGATATGCATTATGAAGTCTGTTTCTATTGATAAGGGATTACATTTATACCGGGCATGCATTTACGTCGGTTTATTAAAAAAGACATCTCTCCTTTGAGAAAAGATGATTTATTAAACAATCATAGGAACTTCTGGAAATAGTTTGTCATAATGTGAATAGTCGAAAACATTCAAACCCATTACGCACACACTGCATTAATAGGTTTGTACAAACAACTGTATGTCAGTGTACTCTCAAATTGTTACCTTTTTACTGAACCAGGTGAATAATTCAAAATGGACAAATTATCTGCATAACTGCAGTACAATAGTAAATTCTTATAGTGCATGTAATCAGTTACTACCAAAAGAGACACTAAATAAAATGCACATTTCACCATGAAACAAATGTCAGTATAGACGAAAAACATCCAGAAAAACTTATGAGTAAATGATATGTTTTCAGTTTTGTCTCACACACTTGTAATATCATATAAGGCCACATTTATCATGGTACACTGCCTCAGTGATGAAGTTGTTTAGGTGCTCCTCAGCTAAGATGAAAAGGAACCACCATTTTACTGTTTTACTTGTGCAAGAAATTAGAAGTTAAACCTAAACTTTAAGGACACATCATTATTAACACACATTAGAGACAGCAGGAGGAAGGCCTGATGCAACCAGAGGCCCTACAGATCTGCTGCAGTCTGGACGACCTCCTCCTCAGTGAGTGTGGACATGGACAGTGAAGGCATGAACCAATGTACTTGGGCCCACTCAGTCTAATGTATCTCTCGTCTTCTGGAGGAGGAAGAGCAGAATGGGCCTTTGTCTGATAGGTTCAAAGTCAGGTCCTGCAGAGTGAAAACCAGTAATGACACAACATTAGGAAATCTACAAAATGATTACAGGAAATATATAACATTGAAACAGCTAAGTTAATAGAAGAATCCCACACATTTGAGAAATGCGTATTTTTACTCTTTGAATCATGATTTCAACATGAGCATGATTCATTTGCAGCCTTATTAATACTGAGTTTTCAATGCAACATGCACCATACCTAATCTGTGGCAGGAGTCTGGTTCAGCACCTCCAGTGCAGTGTGGGCTTTACTTTGTCATCTGCATTTGACCCATTTCATGAATCATGAGTGTCTCATCAGCCAACAGTTCTGTGGCCCCAGCAGTAAGTTGTGTCTTCATACAGGAGTCTGCAAATGAGAAAAGAAAATTAATATGAAATATTTCAAATAGTTTTCTCTTTACCGTTTTCTCTGTTAGTAGTAGTTTACTACTGTACTTGCTTGGATGTATTGTGTTTAAGTTAATAGTCAAAAAGAAAAAAAATCCTTACAGTCACCAATCAAGGATCCTTCAGAATACGTCAACTACCTCTGATATTATTATTGCCAAAAATATTTCATTAATTATTGACTGTGAAGGCCCGGACTAGACCAGGTCTAATCTTGGACTTGAGAGAGAGAGAGAAACCGCAAGCCCATGGAGGTGTCCGCAAAGCACGATCAGACGACAGCTGCTTTAGCGCCGTGGGGCGTGGAGCTCTGCGCCAGTCCTTTTGCCCACAGTCACCCACACTCAGTCCTGATTCAGTTCTGGTTTAGTCCTTGTCTAGTCCGAGCCTTAGTCCGCGTGTGTCACGCCTTCCCAGTGGCTCTTTGGCGCTTCCCAGGGAGGCGAGCCTCACCTATTGAAAACCGCTGCACTAAAGTCTCTCTCAGCCTGGTCCATCGTTCCAGGCAAGACCCAGAAATGGCACTTATTTGCAGGGCAACGACGCTTTCTGTCCAAATATGAAAGTTTGAGCGGACTTTTCATCGCGTTAGCTCCAAATCAGTAGCTAAACTTTTAGCTCAAAGCTCCGAGGTTCACACAGTTAACACAGTTTAAAACAAACTTATTTGACAGTTTTTGTGGGTTATGACCGTAACACAGTAGATGAATATAATCAAATAAAAGCCACATTACCGTAAATCATAAGTCCCGCTGTAGTTTATCGCAGTCAGCTGTTTTCTGTCTCTCAAAGGCAGATCTTTCTCTCTGTCCAGCCGGTGTGTCTCTCCATTGAGCTGTTACACTGAGCGCCCCTGCAGGTTTGGAGCACTTCCGTTGTGGCGACTCTTTATGCAGCGTTTTTCTTTTGCAGGTGTTTTCTTGGGTTTTCATCGTTTCGCGCTTTGCATCGTTTCTCTATTTGCAGCGCATTTGATGATGATGCATTTGTCTTTGTTTCTTGCAGCGCGTTTTTTTCACACGTATTTTGTTTGTACCTCGTTTAAACTTGTGTTTGACCCTGTGAATTTGCATCGTTTCTGTACTCTCTAAATGAGACGCGTGCCGGGGTTTTTTTTATAAAGTGATGCAAATGTCCGGGTTTTCAGTACCGCTCATTAAACTGAGCGTCTCTCATAGCTCTGTGACCCAGAAGGAGCGAGACACAAACAGTCGATCAGTCTGCAACATACCGAAGCACAAATGCGCATTAACAATGACTTGTACAAGAAATTCTCCATCTTCCGTCCCGGTCGGGACAAGTGTGAGTCCATGTGCACAGGTTGTGAGGTGAGAGTGCAGTGTCCCTCGTTTATCGCGGGGGTTCCATTCTAAAAATAACCCGTGATAGGTGAAATCCGTGAAGTATCAACTTTATATTTTACAATTATTCTATCTGTGTTAAGTCTGTAAAACCTCAGCACAAACTTTATACACTTTTCTCAGACAGGATCGACAGGTGCAACCCTTTTTACTTCCTTCTTAAAGCTTATTACTGCTGTCGTCCTTTTGTTATTTTCCTCTTTCTTTATGTAACAAATTGAAGATTCATTTATTCCGTAATGGAGCCTACAGCGCAGTCCTGCACGGGTCCATTTTTGGAGACCCCCAGTACAACACCGCACCTGCCAGTACAGGACCACACCTGCCCGTTAACCAGAGATTATATCAAATTTTTGCACTGCCTACGCCACGGACTGAACCAAGACCAAATCAGGACTAACCCAGGACTGATTCCAGGACTGAAGAGGAGGACTAATCCACGACTGAACTAGGACTAAACCAGGACTAAACCAGAACTGAAACAGGACTCACAGTCAGGGCGGGCTTGAAGGTGACCACAGGAGAAAGGACTGGCTCTGCTCCGTACCTCACGGAGTTAAACGCCTGCCCTATCGCGCTTTGCGGACAAACTGCTCGGCGTTTTCTCTCTTAAATACAAGATTAGTCCTGGTTTAGACCTGGTTTAGTCCTGACCCACCCGTGTGTAATTACTACCCGCCTGTAATACACAATACGCGTTCATACACTGTAAAAAATAGCAAACCCCCCCCCCCAAGGTGTCCGGGTTTTCACAAACGGAAATATGGTCACCCTAAATAAATATATTAAACCCTTAAAATACAGCAAAAATAATGATTTGGGTGGAAATGGCTGTCAACAAATGAAGTCATGCTGGCCTTAGCTAATGCTGTTATGCATGATTATGCGTTTTCCTGTCAATATCTCTAAAAATGTTGATGTTGCAGCCATTTTTAATTGGTAAACATCTAAAAGTTTGCTAATTCTTCCCTGATATCCAGGGATTATTCCCTGTTGCTTTCATCAAATATACATTCAATTGTTTAAGAGAAATGTTGCTGACAAACCAATAGAAGAGGGAATGATTTTCTGACTAGGGGGCCTTCTGATGATAAGGGTGTAACCCTCTGTGCAGCCTGTGCGCACATCTGGAGCCTGCGGACACTGCTGCGGCACATCACAAACACTCACTCCCCCATCGTATCTACTCGTGCACCACCGTGTAAAACAGAGCAGGTTAAACTTTTTAAAACATGCTACCTGTCCATCTATAGCGCACATCGACTTGATCTTTAGTTCACACTGATTTGAAGGACAAGACAAAATGCAAAGCAAAAACACATCTAAATTAATGCTACAGTGTCTGCACTGAGCAGGCCTACAGAGATATGTGGGCTGGAGTTTACCTAATAAAATGCCAAATAATTCTGTTTGTCACGATGCGTTTGGTAAATGTGCAGAGGCTGTAAATCCCTCTGTAAAACCAGTAAGAGAATAAAACTAAAGTTAGGAATTTTAAAAAACAGGTTTCAAAATCCTACCCACTTTCTTCACTTTGAAGCAGTTTTCTGTAAAGTGCCAGTGGAAGTTCTCTTAAAGAAGAAGTTCTCAAACTGGGTGAGGGTCCAAAAAAGGGGCACAGAATATTTCAGTGCAGTACAGTTTGCTTGGTTTATGTCAGGCCTAAATGAACATGAATCAGATCAAATGGAGATAAATGTATACAAACATTGATATAAATGTGCCAAAACAACTGTGAAATAGAAATTAATGTTGAAAATGTCAAAGATGGTCTCGATTTGGTCTTGATGGGCCGTGGTCAACCTTTAAAAGTCTTGTTCATGTCTCAGGACCCTGTGGACAAGTTTTGGTCCCCCCACGTGCACCCTTCTCACCTTTTTCACCTCTGACAGGTTTTCATGCCTGAGTGATGTTTGAGCATTATAGCCACAGGTGTCAGAGATGAAAACCAGAACCACCCACAAAATGCCCTCAAAGAGTAGAGAGTAGAGCACAGGTGTCAAACATACGGCCCAGGGGCCGGATCCGGCCCTCCAAGACCTTTAATCTGGCAATCGGCTGATTTTCTACTGAAATATTTTAATCATATTTTCTATTAAAATATTGGTAATTTTCTGTTCCGCTTAGCAGAGCAGTGTCTCCAGTGCCTCTGTACGTGGCCCCTCCCACCAGAGCAGCACAAATGAAGACTTGTCTCTTTCCAAACGCTCTTAAAGGACGATCATTTTGACACCATGACAACCTCATCAGCAAAATGTCAAAAATAGAAAAGTGGACGCCAAGTGCAGGATTTTCCAAGAAAAATTGACTTATTCCTATTTGCATACAAGTTCATGTTAAAACATTGTGTTGAAATAGCATTTTTTCTCATAATATTATAATATTTTGTAAAAGAAAGAGTTCATCAGTTAAAAAATATTTCTGTAATAGAGTTGCGTTTCTCTGCACAAATATTTGAATTTATTGTTATTTTTGGGGTTTATATGACATGAGTTTTCTGATCCAGCCCCTTTGGGATCAAAGTAGGTTGGATACGGCCCCCGGACCAAAATGAGTTTGACACCCCTGGAGTAGAGTAACAGTTTTTTTTTTTTTTAAGTACTACAACCCTGTGTCACTGAAGTCTTAAGCTGCAGATAGAGACACATCCTGCATTTGTCTTATTCTCAGTCTATGGACAGACCAGGCCTCATGTGAAGCTCTAGAACCTCCAGACCTCTCCTTGAGCTGCAGAGGCTGCACTAGCACTGACTCATGATGCTGCAGGTGCTGGGGTTTAGGGAGAGACCGTTCAGATCAGAGAGAGGACTTTTGGGTTTAAACACACTGGATTTGAGCATTGAAACTGACACAGGAAAGAATTACATTACAAATTACCAATTACAATTCCATTAAACATCCTTCTGTTCCTTCTGTCCCGACCCCTCCTTAGCCCCGCCCGTGGAGCCCTCTCTGGCCGTCCTGCGCCCGGTCAGAGACATTTCGGCTAAAGCTGGAGACACAGTTCTGTTTGAGTGTCATGTGATGGGACCCAAAGACACGGACGTGGACTGGCTCTCTGATGGAAAACTCATCCAACCAGCTCTCCTCAACTGTAAGATGCACTTCAACGGAAAGAAGTGCCGCCTCCTACTCAACTCTGTGCACGAGGACGACTCCGGGGTCTACATGTGCAAGATCAGCTCTGCTAAAGGTACTAGACCAGAACAGAACCAGGACAAAACTTGGACTAAAACAGGACTGAACTAGGTTTAAACAAGGTCTGAACCCAGACAGTCTCACAGATGCTCTTCTTCTCCTGTCCCTCAGAGGAGGTGACTTCCTGTGGCCGGCTCTCAGTGCTGCCATCTGTGGAGCCTCTGTTCACCAGGAAGCTGGACGTGCTGGAGGTGATCGAGGGACGAAATGCTCGCTTTGACTGCAAAGTGAGCGGAACACCCGCCCCCAAAATCATCTGGAGTCACTTCGGTACGAATGTTCAGGAAGCTCTAGGACCTTTAAGGTTTAGGACTTTTATGATTTAGAATTTTTAAGGTTTAGTGTTTCCAGAATTTCTGATCTAATCATTTCCATGGTAAATTACCAGGAATTTGCAGGGAAGTTTTATAAGCAATAAAGACAGAAACTTGCCTTTAAAATAGGTTTCTTGGCCAGTGTTCTGAGACTGGTGCATGTGTGAATGGTGCTTCTGAGAGTGAGGAGGTGCACATCCTTCAGGAGAAGATTTTAAAGTTTAGGACCGACAGACCTCAGAAAAGAGTTTGACAAAACCTCATGGTATATTTATAGATTATGTATTAAAACATGGGCTTCTCATTTAAACAATTAAGACTAGCGCTTTTTTTTTTTTTTTTTTTCAAGACAAGATTGAAAATGTATTTTATGCAAACCCCTCTTCAGCCCCTGATCTTTCCCAGTTCCCCTGGTGGTGCCCACACCACCATCTGGGAACCACTGCTCTAATGCATTACTGTGGTTCAAAGGTTATGTCAGTATCTGAAGATGAGAGGTGCCCCAAGGTTCCATGTTAGGACCACTCTATATAAGTGATCTTCAGGAGAACTGTTGATACCCCACCAGACCTGAGCTCCATTCACACATGCACATGTCCCGGGAATGTTACCGCATGTCGCCACTGTTGATTGTCATGATGTAAATGATGCAGCAGTGTGATGTTGTGTGAGGGAGCGCAGAGCCAGACTGGAACTGTGTGAACTGTGTTTCTGAGAAACATTTCTCAGATTTAAATGTGTCTTCTTTGTTCAGACCAGCCTCTGGTGGAGAGTGAGGACGTGAGGATCCTTCAGGAGGGAGGCAGACACTCGCTCATCCTCTCTCACGTAACCAACGACGACGAAGGATTCTACACCGTCACCGCTAGAAACGTCCACGGAGAGGCAGAGTGTTCTGCAGAACTGTACATCCAAGAGCCCCGGCCCGCCATCTCCTCCCAGATGTGAGCTTTACATTTCACTCAGTAGTACAGGTGGTAGTAGTTCTGGCGACACTTTACAAGAACTTTATAAAAAAAAACTTAATAAAGCATAAACGTAGACTTCATACATAATGAACAAATAGTTTATTTACAAGGATTCAGGCTCAGTAACTGCTTCATTAATACTCTACGTCATTCTTTATAAACTACTTGCTCATTGTGAATTTAGTTATACTTTATAAGTCATAGTAGTAGTAGTAGTAGTAGTAGTAGTAGTAGTAGCAGCAGTAACAGTTGAAGCTGTGGTAGTAGTAGTTGTAGTAGTTGTAGTACTTGTATCTACAGTATCTCTTCATGTCAGGGCTAAACTGGAGAAGATGCCATCGATCCCAGAGGAGCCCGAGGTTCCGGACTCAGATCTGGAGCGGTTCACGATGCCCGACTTCACCAAAGCTCTCCTGGACCTGGACGTGGTGGAGGGACGAGAGGCCGTGCTCAAGTGCAGAGTGTCCGGTCTGCCGTACCCGACCATCACCTGGTACCACAACGGCCAGCGCATAGACAGCACCGAGGACCGCAAGATGACCCAGTGTGAGTACTGACGCACACCACGGAGAGCTGGACCAGTACTGGTTTAGACCTGGTTTAGATCTGGTTTAGATCTGGTTTAGATCTGGTTCAGTTCTGGTTTAGACCTGGTTTAGACCTGGTTTAGATCTGGTTCAGTTCTGGTTCAGTTCTGGTTTAATCCTGGTTTAGTTCTGGTTTAGTCTTAGTTGAGTCTTGAGTTAGACCTGGTTTAGACCTGGTTTAGGATTAGTTCATTTCTGATTTAATTTAGTTAATTTCTAAGGTTTAGTTAATTTCTGGTTTAGTCCTGGTTTAGACTTAGTTTTGACCTGGTTTAGCCCTGATTTATACCTGGTTTGGTCATAGTTTACTCCTTGTTTAGTTCTGCTTCAACATTGTTTTAGTCCTTGTTTATACCTGGTTTAATCCTGGTTTAGTTTTGGTTTAGGGATCATTTAGTTTTAGTCCAGTCCTGGTTTAGACCTGGTTTAGTCCTTATTTAGTTTTGCTTCAGTAGTGTTTAAGTCCTGGTTTAGTCTCACTTTTATATCTACTTTTGGCCTAGTTTGGTTCTGGTTTGATTCAGGTTCAGTCCTGGTTTAGTTCTGGTTTAGAAATGGTTTAGAAATGGTTTAGACCTGGTTTAGGCTTAGTTTAGTTCTGCTTCAGCATTGTTTTAATCCTTGTTTAGACCTGGTTTAATCCTGGTTTAGACCTGGTTCAGTCCTTGTTTAGTTTTGCTTCAGCAGTTTTTAAGTCCTGGTTTAGTCTCACTTTTATATCTTCGTTTGACCTGGTTTGGCTCTGGTTTGGTTTGGCTCTGATTTGGTTTGGTTCAGGTTGGGTTCTGGTTGGGTTCAGGTTCAGTTCTGGTTTGGTTCTGGTTTAGTTCTGTGTTTACTGGCCTGTGCTGCTGTCCCATGTTTGAGTGTGTCCATTATGTGTGTGTGTGTGTGTGTGTTCAGATCGGGACGTGCACAGTCTGGTGATCAGGAGTGTGACTCACGCTCACGGAGGAGTGTACAAGAGCGTCATCGCCAACAAAGTGGGGAAGGCTACATGCTACGCTCACCTCTATGTCACCGGTACTACTGCAAATACTACTACTACTACTGCAAATACTACTACTACTACTGCAAATACTACTACTACTACTGCAAATACTACTACTACTGCAAATACTACTGCTACTGTAAATACTACTACTGCTACTGCAAATAGTACTAATACTGCAAATACTACCACCACTACTGCAAATACCACTACTACTGCAAATACTACTACTACTGCAAATACTACGACTGCTGCAAATACTACTACTGCAAGTACTACTACAAATTAGAGATGCAACAATATTTGATATAATATTGAATCGTTCGATACTTCACGTTTCACAATTCGATACACGTTTTTGTTCGATACATGTTTCGATACACACATGTTCCTCCATGTGCCCTGTGTTGTCATTTATTTTGGTCCCAAAGTAAAACGGTTTTCACAGTTTCTTCCATAACTACTAAGAAAACAGCTCCATAGAGACTTAGAGCTGAAATATTCTAACAGAGGAGAGTTTGATCTTTCACTCACTTTTTATTTTATGTTGATAGACCCAGGAATGACAAAGAGATTCACTTTTAAATACTTTAGAATCACTTTTGGCATCACACCGGCTTTAATCAAATGTGCTCGTGCACACACACGCGACGAGACTTGAAATATACACAGTGTTTGTCTCACACTCTGTCTTAGAAATTTTACCCAGAAAACGGTCCATTGAGACATTTACAGTTTGAGTCCAGAAAGAGGATGAGAGACACAGAGTGTCTGTAAGAGCACAGACTGTAGGAGGCAGTGTGGGAGGAGCTACGTACTGTCTCTGCTGGAGGGGACAGTGTGGGAGGAGCTACGTACTGTCTCTGCTGGAGGGGACAGTGTGGGAGGAGCTACGTACTGTCTCTGCTGGAGGGGACAGTGTGGGAGGAGCTACGTACTGTCTCTGCTGGAGGGGGCAGTGGGGGAGGAGCTACATACTGTCTCTGCTGGAGGGGGCAGTGGGGGAGGAGCTACATACTGTCTGCAGAAACTCCAGACATACACCAGTGGGATCATAGTGTTTTTATATTTCACTCATTAGCAGAAATGAGATTTTTTCTTGTCTTAACAACTTATCGAATCAATATCGTGGCCTGTGTATCAAGATATGTATTGAATCTACCCTACTACAAATACTACTGCAAATACTACTAGTATTACTACTGCTACTGTAAACACAACTGCTACTACTACTACTACTGCAAACACTACTACTACTACTATTGCAAACACAACTGCTGCTACTACTACTATTACTACTACTACTACTACTACTACTACTACTATTGCAAAGACTACTACTACTGCAAACACAGCCAGTACTACTACTGCTGCAAACACTACTGCTACTAGTACTACTACTACTACTGTTTCTACTATCTGCAAACATTACTGCTACTACTATTACTACTGCAAAGAATACTGCTACTACAACACCCACCTCTACATAACAGGCATTACTACAAATACTACTGTAAATCCTATTCCTACTATTACTATTACTGCAAACATTAGTAGTAGTACTGACATGAGTGTGTCCTGTAGACATCCTGCCGGACCCTCCAGACGGCTGTCCTGTGGTAGACTCCATCACCGGGAAAACCATCACTCTGAGCTGGAAGAAACCACGCAGACTCGACCCCTCCATTGGTGAGTACTACTACTACTGCTAATACTACGACTATTACTGCTACTGCAAGTACTCGACGTAATAGTACTACTATTACTGCTACTGCAAGTACTCGACCCCTCCATCAGTAGAGAAGCAGTCATGTGCTTGTTTCTGTCAGCACTATGGACAGAGAATCATTTCTTTAGAATGACGTCATGAGCAGAAGTGAACAGACTAATTCCTGAAAAAAGATAAATAAATAAATAAACTGCAAAGTTCAGCGTCTTCTCTGTCACTGCAGATACTGGACAGAGGTAAGACTACTGCAAGACTACTACTACCACTACTACTATTAGCACTACTACTACTACCAGTACTACTATTACTACTAGTACTACTAACACTACTACTTCGACTACCAGTACTACTACAACTACTACTACTACTACTACTACCACTACTACTATTACTACTAGTACTACTACCACTACTACTACCACTACTAGTATTAACACTACTACTACAACAACTACTATTACCACTACTACTACTACTACTACTACCACCACTACTACCACTACTACTACTGGCACTACTACTACAACAACTACTATTACCACTAATACTCCTACAAATACTACTACTACCACTACTACCACCACTACTTCTACTACCACTACTACTACTTCCACTACTACTACTACTACTACAACTACCAGTACTACTACCACTACTACTACTGCTACTGCGATATTAACCACCACCAGAAAGGCATTCAGCAAACCCTCCCCAGCTACTGACTGCTGGTTACTGGTTACTGATCAGAGCTACTACTACTACTTCTACTACTACTACTACTATTACTATTACTGCAGTTACAATAAATATAGCCCTTCATCTAATGAAATAAAATCAAATTCTGCTCAGTCTGTAAATGTAATCAGTGTGTATTTTTTGTTTTAATCCTGAGACTGAAGCTCAGATGTTACTTTGATTGTTGTTGTTTTGCGTCCCCTCAGACCCGTCGTCCCTCATGTACGCGATCCAGCAGCAGGCGCTAGGCTCCATCCAGTGGACCATCATCGCGTCCGGCCTCAAGGACACGTCCTTCTGCGTCTCGTCTCTGTCCAAAGGCGTCCGCTACAGCTTCAGAGTGTTAACCATCACCAGCAAGGCCTTCAGCAAGCCCTCCCCCTCCACCGAACCTCTGCAGCTGCTGGACAGAGGTAAAAATACTACTACTACTACTAATACTACAATACTGACCATCACCAGCAAGGCCTTCAGCAAGCCCTGGGGCTTTTATTTCACTATTTTATCAAAATCAAGATATGAAGAGTAATAACAGACAAAGCAGGTCACTAGGTTTGATTGACAGCGTACCGTCCTCGCTCCTGATTGGCTCTTTGAATCACATGGAAAAGATGATGACATAATGGTTTCCTGTCATTTAGGTCCATATCTGTCTGAGGCTCCGGTGATCCAGGACAAACCTGACGTGGTTTATGTGACAGAGAATCAGTCTGTGACCATCACTGTGACCATTAACCACGTCAACGCCGCCGCCATCTGGAAACGGTCAGTACTGCAGCCTCTAAACCAGGGGTGTCCAAACTTTTTTCATCAAGGGCCACATATCTAAACACAGACAAAGCAGAGGGTCAATCGAGGGCCAAAGACTGATGCTCAGTACAGTGAATAATTTAAATATGTGCATGTTTAATTCGTTAGAATGAGCCATCAGTCTTTATTCATGCTAAGATTCTTAAAACCACACACTAAATATTAAATATTGGCTTTATCAAGGCAGATTTTCAAAAAACTTTAAGTAAATTTTTTTTATTTTTTTTTTATTGATGCAAGGTAAAATGGGCCAATTCACCTGGAAGTGTGAGGGCCAAGAAAAATTTATCTGAGGGCCGCATTTGGCCCCCGGGCCATAGTTTGGACATGCCTGCTCTAAACCCTCACACACACACGCACCCCCCCCCACACACACACACATTACACAACAGATATACAGTACAACCAAACTATGAACCATGTCAGTGCCGCCGCCATCTGGAAACGGTCAGTACACACTACAAACACAAATACAACAAATACTGTTACTGTGAAGCACGTCAATAAACACGCCACCCTAACCCTAACCCCCTCCAAACTCTCTTATAATCTCTTATTTTGTCTTATTATTTGTTTATTTAATTGATTATTCATTTTTCAAAATAAAACCAAAAATAAGAAAATGAAAAAAACAACAACAATTTTTTTAATTATTTGTCTCCAAAACTAAAATGAAAAAACTGATGATTCTTTCTTCTTCTTTTTTTCATTTTTTTCGATTGTGTGTTATGAATGAATAATGGAAAAAATAAAAATAAAAAATAAAAAAATCTTACTAAAAATCTAAACTTAAACTGTGATGTCAGACTTTTGCACAGAGACCAGGTCTGAGACCGGGACCAGACCGGGACTGACTGGGATCGGGACCAGATCAGGTCCAGACTGGGACTGAGACCAGGATGGAGAACGGGACCAGACCAGGACTGACACTGGGACTGAGACCAGGACTGAGACTGGTTTGGTCCTGGTTTAGACCTGGGTTAGACCTGGTTTAGACCTGGTTTAGCCCTCGTTTAGACCTGGTTTGGTCCTGGTTTAGACCTGGTTTAGCCCTCGTTTAGACCTGGTTTAGACCTGGTTGAGTCTTGGTTTAGTCATGATACGATACACTTTTCGATACAGTGCACATTCAATCCAATATGATTTGATACGATATATTTTGAATTACTTACGGTTCAGAGAAAAACAAAGCCTAAATCATGGCTGTGACAGTAAAAGTCTACAAACTCCACTAAGTTTGTGTAAAATCAATTAAACACCCATTTTACTCATGAAAACAGTGAAAATGTCAACACATTTGTAGCTCTTACACAAAATAATTAATTAAAATATACCTAAAAATGACTCTTGGTGACGTATTGATACAGCAGCGATACTGTATCGATATCGATAGTGTATCATCAAATTTAACGATTGCACAATATATTGATATTTTGATATTTTTGCACACCCTTACTTGTGATGTCATGTGGTAATACAGGAAGTGCTCCTCTGTGTTTCTAAACTCCACACACCTTCTCTAGAATCAGTTAGACCATTTCAGATCTGGAATTGTCCATTTCTACTGAACAAAAGATAGTTTTAAATTCAAAAACTACTACTTCATGACATCACAAAGTGGAACAGAGCATTTTTAGCTTTGGAGACTATTAGGAGTTTTGCAGACTAATAATAAAGTTTGAATGAAACAGAACATGACTCCAGGTGTGTTTTTGATGAAGTAATAACATTAGAACATGTTTTAAAGCTCATAACAGTCAGTTTTGTGTAATACAGAACCTCCACATGATCCCTTCTCTCTCTCCTTCTGTAGTAACGGTTCAATCCTGTCTCCTCGTCCTGGTTCATATGAGATGTCGATGCCTGATGATGACCAGCACCAGCTCAAACTGTGTAAAGTCAAGTGTACTGATGTGGGAGACATGGAGTTTATCGCCACAAACAAACACGGCTCTGACAGCTGCAAATTCACCGTGGAGATGGCAGGTGTGTGGAGGAAAGGCCCACTGCGGAAGTGTCCTGGATCAGACCCTGTTCAGTCCTGGTTTACTCTTGGTTTAATGCTGCTTTAGTTTTGCTGCGGGTTAGTCCTGGTTCAGTCTCGATATAGTCCTGGTTAAGTCCTAGTTAAGTTCTGGTTTAATCATGTTTTGGTCCTGGTTTAGGGTTGTCTATCCACAGAGAAATTTGTCCTGGTGGTGTCACCTGCTTGCCCCCATGGAGATAGATAAGTTTGATGTCATACTGTGGAACATTCAAGACTACATTATATTATACAAGGACACAATAACATGAAAATAATATGTATAATATATTAGGCACTGCTCTTTCTGAAGATTTGTTACTCAAGGTAGACACAAAATGTGAGATGATTTATGCTGTTAAACAACAAGTATCTTAAATAACAATACAGTCACAAGTTAGTTTGCATTATCCAACTGTTTTTCAGTTAGTCACTCTCACCTTTCTCTTAAGCTGGACCGTGAATGCTTTTGTCTTGGGTTTTCAGACAGTCTTAAAACTTCTTTGCCAGTGTTTGGCAACATGTGCATTGTATCACCATGAAAACCTACGTATGAGCATTCCACCATAGACATACATGATGAACATCCCCAGCGTGACGTCACTGTGTCCATATGAGTTGTTCTCGTTGTGTCCTCAGCTGCTCCCACGTTTGAGACCATCATGGAGGACCTGGACGTGTGCTCAGGAGAGACGCCGCGATTCGCTGTGGTCTGTGAAGGAAAACCCATCCCTGACATCCTCTGGTTCAAGGTACAGACACAACACATGGAGTAGACATACGTTAACCCATGGACTGTATTTATAGATGGACTTTAGTTGTATTGAAAAAACGTTGACCCTGTCTCTTTAACTGCTGCTGTGAACCTCGTCATTTGGTCTAAAACGTGTAGATTGGCTCCTGACTGGCTCTTTGGTTTTGTGCAGAGATTTTCCAAATATGGTAGCTGCTGTAACTGCTAACCTCAATGAGCTTCATTATTATTCATCTGAACACTACTGTCTTAGTCCACTTCTTTGTAGTGTATGGACTAGTAGTGCTGTCAAGTGATTAAAAAAGAGATTGAGAGATTAATTAATTATGATCTGTAATTAATTAATCTAATTAATCTCTTTTTTAATCTCACCTAAAAATTGCTGAGAAAAGCTTCAACTTGAGGTATTTTCATTTGAATTCATTATTACATTATTTTCATACTATCATGAATGTTTTTATATAAGTATCATCATTATTACTGTTACTAATCTGCATAAATAAACTCAACTTTACAACATATAAACATAAACACTCTAGAGCCACATCAGCCCGTTTGACATTATCATGTGTTTAATGGCGATTTGTGCAAGTCTCACAGAAACAAAACTTAAAACCACATGGCTAATTTGCATAAATTAAGCAGAGAAAAAAACAAAACAAAACGCTCTTGTGTCGCTGATGTGGTTCAGCTTCTACTAAAGGACATGACTCAGTGGAATATGAGTGTTCTCTCTGTGACAGAGGGATGTTGATGCTGAAGGTGAGTCTGTTCTGTGTCTGTGTCGTGATGTTTTCAGATGAGACTTGTGCAGGTTTATCACAGATGCGGCGAGAACGGGAATAAAAATTAGGCTACAATTCTTTGCGGGAGCGAGCGGAGCAGGACTGCACAGTGCGACTGTGTCCTAACAACACATAAAAACAGATTTTATAATAAGGCAACTCACATACAGAAACAGAAAAATTTGAGATTAAAAATGCAATTAAAAAACATAACACGTTAAATATGACTGTAATTAATTAATCGCAATTAACGCAATAATTTGACACCCCTATGGACTAGAGTGCGGATTCGGGCAGTTTTTTTTCTGTCCGTTCTGTCTGTTTTTCTATTTTCTCAGACAGACCGGTGATTGAACCCCCCAGTGTTAAGATATTAAGATGTTAAACACATCAGACTATTTTCACAGGCCTGCTGACACACATGTAGGATATTGTTTGCGTTCCTCTAACAGACAAAGAGACACAAAATACAAACTCAAGATATAGTGAAAATAAGAAGACTTTATTTCTCACCTGTCGTAAAGTGGTCAATTTAAAATGCAGCATCTCATCCACATTATCCATAGAAATATTGACATCCAGTCCACAAAACGCTGCTGTGAATCCAGTTTGAGGCGTTCTTTAAAAGTAAAAAGGTGGGAGTAGCTCCTCATGTGTGTTTGTTTACATCCACACAGCGCACGGATCCAGGTGAAACTGAACTCAAAGTGAATGTCTGTGGTGTGCGCTTTTGTTGCACATTTAAAAATTGTTTCTGAAATTTCTGAAGTGTGTGGTGGCCTTAAGCTGTTTTTAATTTTACATTTAAAGTCTAATATTTAGTCAGGTTTCCATGCTGTAGTCTGGACTGAGCCTGTACGTGTGTTGTGTGTTGTTCAGAATGACGTCCTGCTGGCGGAGAGCAGTCATTACACCTTTGTATATGACGACAGTGAGTGTTCTCTGGTGATTCTCAACGCTCGGCCCGACGACTCTGGAGTCTACACCTGCACCGCCAGAAACCAGGCCGGCTCTGTGTCCTGTAAGGCCGAGCTCACCGTGCACCAGGGTATGTACCACTACTACAGCTACTACTACTGCAACAAGTACTACTGCTACTGCTACTGCTACTACTACAACAACAAGTACTACTATTACCACTACTTCTGTCACTACTATTACTGTATACTTGCACACAAGAAACCAGGCAGGGTCTGTGTCCTGTAAGGCCGAGCTCCAGGGTATGTGGACTACTTCTACTGCTACTTCACTGATACTACTACTGCTACTGCTACTAATACCACCATTACTACTACTTAAGTTACAGCTGTCATGTCTCTGTGTTAAAGCTGTTATGTCTCTGTGCTCAGTGAAAGTGAAGGACGAGCCGATGGAGGATGAGGAGACCATTATGAGGAGAATGCGCCGCCTCAGCGACTACTACGACATCCACAAGGAGATCGGACGGTAAGAAAGTACTACAAATATTGTTGTAGTCACATGGACAGTGAGGGAAAACAGTAAACTCACCTGTAAGTCACTAATTTAAAGGTCCATAATGTAACTTTTCTAGCTGAAGTTCAGCCAACTACTTAGTCCTGGTTTAACTGCTGTTAAACCTTTGCTTAGGCTTACACCTGGTTTATTATGGGTTTATCCCTGGTTTAGACCTGGTTTAGTCCTGGTTTTGATCTGGTTTAGTCCTTTAGCCCTACTTAAATCCCTCTCGTCTTCTCTCCCAGTGGAGCGTTCTCGTACATAAAGCGCGTGGTGCAGAAGTCGGATAAGACGGAGTTTGCAGCAAAGTTCATCTCGGCTCGAGCCAAAAGGAAAAGCTCTGCTCTGAGGGAAATGAGGATCCTGTCCGGACTCGACCACCAGAGGGTGCTCTACTACCATGACGCCTTCGAGAAGAAGAACGCCGTCATTATCGTCACCGAGAAGTATCCTGGAAGAAACTACGTTTAGACCTGGTTTAGACCTGGTTTAGCTTAGTCCTGATTTAGACCTGGTTTAGACCTGGTTCAGTCTTGGTTTAGACTGTGTGTTGTCCTTAACTTTTGAAGATGTCATGAGGAGATGTTGGACAGGTTCATCAGGAGGACGTCGCTCCTGGAGTCAGACGTGAGTTTGATTTGATGAGTTTCAGTTATAAATGACCTTCAGAGTCAAGTAAAACAGGTCAAAGGTCATATCCCCTCTGTTCTCTCTCTCGTCAGGTGCGCTCTTGTATCAGACAGGTCCTGGAGGGTCTGGACTATCTGCACCACCTCAACATCATCCACCTGGACATCAAGGTACAGCACAGAGACACGAGACACATCAAACTGAAAAAAATAACCAATGGACACAGTTTGACATAAATATACTATTTTAGAGCAAAAAATGTATTAAATACAGAATCATCATCACACTCTTTGTCTCCCTTGTCACCCTCTTCTCCTCTCACCTATCGCTCACCTCTCTCTCTCTTTCTCCTCTGCCCTTTTTTCCTCTCCTCGTTTCATTCTCTCTCGTCTCTTTTTCAGCCTGATAACATCTTGATGGCCGATGTTCACTCAGACCAGATCCGTCTCTGTGACTTTGGGAATGCTCTGGAGTTTTCTCAGGAGGAGATGCAGTTCTGTAAATACGGAACTCCAGAGTTTGTCGCTCCTGAAATCGTCAACCAAACTCCAGTCTCCAAAGCCACCGACATCTGGTACAAATATTACAACACTAACCATTACTAATATTATGTAACATTTAATTTGAAGACTCATTTGTGTTTTCTTGTTTCCAGGCCAATTGGAGTCATCAGTTATCTCTGGTAAGGAAAAATTACAGGAAGTAGTTCACCAAAAGTCAAATCCACAAATGTTTTTCCAGATCATCAATATCACAACATCTGGGAGGGCATCTGACACACCACAACATCTACAGATTAACTAGAGACATGTGACCTGCTGCCATCTCAGTCTGACACAACAGAGGGCATCTGACACAGAAATCTATATAAATGTAGTCCTTGTTTAAGTTTTTATTTGTTTTTTACTTGGTTGAGTTCCATTTTAGACCTGAGTCATGTACAGAGCTGGATTAGAGGATTAGCGAGGTCACTTTTTGGATCACTTATCCAGACACACTCATGTCAGTCTGTTCAGTTAAGACAAAATGATCCTGAATAAGTTCAGCGAGCTTCAAAGAACAGGCTTCTGGATAAATCCCGGTTTAGTCCCTTTACAATCTTGGTTTAGTTCTGACTTAGTCCTAGTTCAGCACTGGTTTAGTTGTGTAATGAATGTTTTGTTTGTTTATTTTTGAGCCTGATGAGCGTGTCTCATATATTTATATTTTGTTCTTTGCTTGATCATATGTTTGATATGTTTCGTTGCTTGTCAGTTTGATGCCCTTATGTTTGTTGTTGTGCTCTTTAGCCTGTCATCTGTGTGTTCTGTTCTTCTTTAGCCTCACGGGTGTGTCTCCGTTTGCGGGGGAAGATGATCGCAGTTCGCTCTTAAACATCAGAAACTATAACGTGGCGTTTGAGGAGGGGATGTTCTCGGACCTGAGCCGAGAAGCCAAAGGATTCATCATCAAACTGCTGGTCCCTGACACGCTGTGAGTCACTCCCACTGAACAACAGACGCTCAAAATGTACAAATACAATGTGTGACCTTGAACACTGGGCCAAAACTTCCTCAGTCTTGCTGAAGGTGTTCTACATGTATGTCCAGTGCAGAATGTTCAGCAGTTACCATAGTGACACAATGCACACATTAGCAAACACTGCCTGATAAAATTTTTAATTGTCTGAAAACTCAAGCAGCCCAAACCAACAGCACATTCTCAGAAGCCTGTGATTTTCAGTAAAAGTTGAGAGTGACAAACTGAAAGACTAGACAAACTAGTCAGAAAATCATTCCCTCTTCTATTGGTTTGTCAGCAACATGTCTATTGAATGTATATTTGATGAAAGCAACAGGGAATAATCCCTGGATACCAGGGAAGAATTAGTAAACTTTTGGATGTTTACCAATTAAAAATGGCTGCAACATCAACATTTTTAGAGATATTGACAGGAAAACACATAATCATACATAACAGCATTAGCTAAGGCCAGCATGACTTCATTTGTTGGTTTACAAACCCACCAATGCTCTATTAAAAGAAAAAGATTTAAAATAAAATTGAAATGAAGGTTGTGGAGCTCAAATTACTGAACATTTTGCAAGTTGTTGCCTGAAAATCAGACAGTTATTAACCCTGTTCCACTTAAGACAGACATTTCCACCCAAATCATTATTTCCTCAAACATTTTTGTTGTATTTTAAGGGTTTAATATATTTATTACTTTTAATATTTACTTTTTAAAATATTTAAAACTTGAAATACAATTTCATTTGTAACAATTTGTAACACTACCTGAACATGGATTTTCTGACTAGAGGCTCTTCTGATGATAAGACTGACCCCAATGCTAACTAGCATGTGACTGTAATGTGATTCGAGGGACTCCAGGTTTTTTTTGGAAATGTCTGGGTCTTCATGATCTTTAAAACTGAGCGTCTCTCCTAGCTCTCTTTATCTCAGAAGGAGCGAGACACAAACAGTCGATCAGTCTACAACATGCCGAAGCGCAAATGTGCATTTAACGATGACTTGGATATGAAATTTCCCATTTTCAGTCCCCGTTGAGACAAGTGGGAGGTCATGTGCACAGGTTGCAAGGTGAGAGTAGCTCAATGTCGAGGCCTCACCCCCCACCCTCAGTAAGATGTCCGGGTTTTCACAAACCCGGACATCTTACTCTAGACTTGTTCAACAGCACAGATCAGATCATTTGTTGTAGTTCCAACTTCATCACTTGTTTATGATCAGATTGTGTTTAACAAAGTCCAGGTTAAAGTTTTGAGTCACAGGGCTTCAGACAGAGCAGTGCCTACAGTTAGCATCACACCCTCAAGGAATGTTGATGACACCGACTGCAAAGTATCAATAGGAAAATATAGCCGCAAGCGGCGATGATCGGCCCTCGCTCGAGCCTACGCCACGCCCTACGCCACGCCGCACCCCGGCCACGTTAAGCCCTGCACATGCCGTGCTCCACGAATGCACCTTACCCCTTGATCTAACTCCTAAATTAACCCTAACCCCTAAACGCACCTGAACTCCTAACTGTAGCTCTAACCTTAGGCCGAACGTTACCCCTAACCTAATCCTAACCATAACCTAATCATAACCGAACTGTACAATTTTTCTCATTTTCTGTACGTGCTGATTTTTTTTTAATCCAAGATGGTGGACTTCTGGTTTGGCAGGGGGCGTGGGCACAATATACTTTTTTGTTTCCTAGTCCCATGATGCATCTGTGGTACCAAATTTGGATTGAGTACGTCAAAGTTTTTGTTGGGACGGCTCATTGGTGAGGACAGATTTTTGACCTGTTGCCATGGCAACACGATGGGAGGTGGAGTGTGGGCGTCACTGACTTTTTTCATCAAGACCATGTCATGAATGTGTGTACCAAATTTTGTATGTCTACGAAAAAGTAAAATTTTATAGTTCCATACAATCTCCCTAGGGGGCGCTATTGCATCCATTTTAGATTTTCTTATATAAATCTGTTCATGGTCAGGGTGTCCACCAATGATTCAAGTTTGAGTGAAATCGGCCAAAGTTTGTGCGAATTATCACTCGTCGAAGTTTGGTGGCGAGCCACAAAAATTAACACAAAATTTGCCTTGTTGCCACGGCAACACTGTTTGACCTTTAAAAAAGCTTTTAACAACTTTTAATGTCCCACTTGTCTAGATGATACAGAATGATTCTGGTGAGTCTGGGTCAAACGCCCTAGGACGAGTTCGTTCAAATACAAGGACAGGAAATTGTCCCTTCGGCGCCAGGTTGCACGTTCGATTCAATATGGCGGACTTCCTGTTGGTTGCCTAGCAACCTCGTAATATAATTTTTTTGTTCCTATTCCCATGGTGCATCTGTGTACCAAATTTGGTTTGGTTACGCCAAAATTTTGCCAGGCGTCCTATTGGCGAGGACCGATGTTTGGCTTGTTGCCATGGCAACATGACGGGAAATGGCATGAGGGCGTCATTGACTTTTTTGATCGAGACCATATCACGATTGTGTGTACCAAATTTTGTATGTCTACGACAAAGTAAATTTTTGCCCTTCCATGCAATTTCCCTAGGGGGCACTATTGCACCCATTTGAGATTTTCTTATATGAATCTGTTCAGGGTCGGGGTGTCAATCAACGATTAAAGTTTGAGTGAAATCGGCCACAGTTTGTGCGAATTATCACTCGTCGAAGTTTGGTGGCGAGCCGCAAAAACGTACCCGAAATTTGGACCATTGCCACGGCAACACCGTTTGACCTTTCAAAAAGCTTTTAACAACTTTTAATGTCCCACTTGTCTAAATGATACAGAATGATTCTGGTGAGTCTGGGTCAAACGCTCTAGGACGAGTTCGTTCAAATACGAGGACAGGAAATCAAGCCTTCGCCGCCGTGTCGCTCGATCAGTCCAATATGGCGGACTTCCTGTTGGTTGCCTAGCAACCACGTAATATATTTTTTTGTTTGGAACAACCAGACCTATCCACCACCTGAATTTCGTTTGTCTACGACACCACCTATGGTGGCACTATATATATCATTGGAAAGGGCTCGCGTCCAGTAACGCACCCATGGGGTTCATTGTCACTGAACTCGCCACACATGGCGCTCAAACTTAAAAAGAAACTCCAGAACAATAACAATATAGGGCCACCTATGGTGGCACATATATATATCATTGGAAAGGGCTCGTGTCCAGTAACGCACCCGTGCGGTCCATTGCCATTGACCTCTTCGATTACTCACATACCCAATGCACGTTTTTGCCGTTTACGAGAGTTAACGATTACAATTATGCCCCTGACGCGGCCCATGGGCAATGCCAGTCTGTACTATTGGATACCATGAGTGTCACTATTGAGTGGCACTGAGTGTTTGATAAGGGGAGAGCGCTTCGCGCTCTGTTTTTGCGGGCGCACTTGACATGGTGCACGAAGTGGAGTGAACAGTAACAATTATGACGCTGACGCGGCCCACGGGCAATGCCACCAATAGGCCCTACGCCACCCATGGCGCTCGGGCCTAATTAAACTGTGACCTGTTACCAATGTTGTGCATTGGGTCAACAATTCCTCTACTGTACACATCAATGTGATGATTATATTTGTTGTTCCAGGCGACCGAACACTCAGGACTGTCTCAGACACCCCTGGTTCAAAGTGAGATTTCACTCTGTCATATCCTTTTATGAATATTAATATATTAGCTTTATTTTGAATTTAAACTTGAACCTTTGTCCAGGCTCTGAGTAAAGGAAAGGCCATCAGCACAGAAGCTCTCAAGAAGTTTGTGGCTCGGAGGAAATGGCAGGTGAGAAAAATGTGTAAGAAGTACACAGTGACAAGATTCATTCTCCTGCTGCTTTTCTCCAACCACACCACAACATCTGGGAGGGCATCTGACACACCACAACATCTGGGAGGGCATCTGACACATCACAACATCTGGGAGGGCATCTGACACATCACAACATCTGGGAGGGCATCTGACACATCACAACATCTGCAGATTAACTAGACACATTTGACCTGCCCTCATCTCAGTTGAACACTATCTGACACACAGGAACACAGGAAGATGGGAGGGCATCTGGCATAACATCTGCAAATGAACTTAACTAACGCTGTGTGTCAGATGCCCTCCCATCCTCCTATATCCCATATGCATTTTTGATCCATAACTTTACATTGCTCAAAAGTCCCTTGAAAAACATTTGAACCTAGGAGGGTGGAAGGGCATCTGACACTCTCCTTAACCTTTTGTTCTAAATGCATGTGTATTGTTTTGACTCTTTCAGCGTTCTTTAATCAGCTACAAATCCAAAATGGTGATGCGTTCGATCCCTGATTTACTGAGCGATTCTTCAAACCACATTTCCATCGCGGCGCCTAAACGCTCCGTGGAAGGATCTGCGTTACCCTCCTCTTCCTCCGACTCTGACGAAGACATCGACGAGCTTCCCTTCATCCCCATGCCCCTCAACACCGAATTCTCCGGATCACGAATGTCTCTAAACGAAATCCAAACCAACGAGGAGAACCGCAGGGAAAACGGGAATAAATACGGTTTGATCGAGGAGGAGCCGATGGAAGTTGACGCGAAAGAGAGGATGGAGAGAGAGGAGGAGGCGGAGCTAATCCAAAAATCGGGAATGCCGAGGAAGCCGCTACAACGTGGGTCAAGCGTCGATTCAGAAAAAATGGATACGGGGAGGAGACGGGGGGAGTTAAGGCGCGGCGGATCGGCCGATAGCGCCTTGATGTTAAAGATCACTCCAGAAGAGAGCAGCGGTGAGAGCGAATCGCCGCAAGAAGACGGGAGAAGAATGCTTAAAAAAGCAGTGTCGATGGAGTTACCGCGGCGAAGCGCTAGCCCAAAAATGAGCCAGGAAGATTACGCACTGAAGCTGGAATTGATGAGGCAAAGATTGTTACGAGGTGGGTCTGTGGACAACAAGATGAGCGGGTTGCGAGGACCTCTACTGGAAACGTTGGGGATGGGAGATGAGAAAAGAACTTCGGAAAGGTATCGCATGAACCGGTTAGCTCCTCCTCCACTAACCCGAGCCGTGTCCAGTGAGTCACCGAGAGATGAGACGCCGAAAGCTAAAGTTTTACGGAAAAGCGCTTCGTTCAGTCAGGGGGACGCAGAGCCGATCGCGCTGCACAGGAGGATGGGGGCGCCGCTAGAAATCCCACTGGCGACGATGGAAGAAAGGCGGTTAAAGGAAGCGATTTCAATGTCGGCGTTGACCGACCAGTCGAAATTCGATTCAAGGCCGGTGACGCCGAGAGAGCCCTCGCCAAAACCGCCCACTCCGGAATCCGTGTTGCAGGACAGTCCGACCAAAACAGAAAGCGAGGAATCGTTTATAGAAAGAGAATCTAAACCAGATGAAATGATCGGAGAGAAAGCAGCGACGGACAGTAACTTTGATGAGCGTTCAAGCACGAGCGGGTTTTCGGAAAAGGATATGAGCATTTCCGAAGAGCCGATAATGGAAACAGAAACTGCGAAGGAAGAAAGAGCGCCGTCGCCTGGTTCGGGTAAGAAAATGGAAATTGAGGAAGGAGGAGAAGTTGAAGAGGATAAACCAATGGAAGAAGATTCAAGTGAAACTGTTGCTGAAAAGACGCCTGAGAAGGAGAGCGAAGAATTGAATGCAAAATCTACAGAAATGGTTATAACGACTAGCTCGGTTTTAGTGAGACCAACAGACGAATACCCAAACGCGCCAGAAGCGGACGCTATTTCATACCCAGAGCCGTACGTAGCGCCGCCTTCTCCGTCGAAAACAGTGCTTCCAGATGGTAGGACGTCAGCGTATGCCAGCATCATGCAGACTATAATGGTACCCGCAGTGCAACCGGCTACCGACGTAACGATAGGACCGTCTACGCCAGTCCAGATACCGCAGAATTCACAGATTTCAAATGAGCAACCAGCTAACGCGCAAACGATTTCTACAGATTTGCAACAAGTCAATACGTCAACAACTGAACATCCTGCTGTTTTTGCGAGAGTAGCTTCACCTGAAACTATTCTGAAAGAGCCAAGTCCACCTAAAACTTTGGCGCAATCTACGTCGCAACAGAATCTCGCAAACAGAGGCGATTTTGAAGACGTAGCATCGGAAGAGCTGTTCGAAGCAAGGTTCAAAAAGCGTGAATCGTCGCTTACGAGAAGTTTTAAGTTTTTAACGAGATCGAAAAATGAAGATAAGATGCAAGCGGGTGAGAAAGACGAAGCAGGAGAGGACATATACAGGCCTAGTCCCATGGGTGCGCCACTAGAATTGGCCACCAGGAGGCTCGAGGAGAAGTCAAAGTCGGTGCAAGATCTGAGAGAAGCGCAAAAGGATCAGGGATTTATGAAAAGATTGTCCCTGCGGTTAAAACGAACGCCGTCGATGGAAAGAACAGACCAAATTAAGGAAGAGGACACCTCGAAAAGACGATTGTCATGGACGCTTGGGAGGAGAGGATCACAGGAAAGAAAAGAGTCTGAGGGTGAGGGAGGAGAGGAGAAGGAAGAGTTGAAGAAGCCGAATGAATCTCCGGTTTTGACAATGAGGCGGAAGATTGAGTCGACAGTGGCGGAAATCTCGACCAGGATCAGGAGTTATTCGGAGGAGAGGAAGGTGTCAGAGGAGAAGGATCAGAAGAGAACGCCGATTCTGTCCATGCTGCGGAGAGCTACCTCAGAGAACCGCGGGGTCAAAGTAGCACCACAAAACCAACTCGTTCAGCAGGCAACCAACGGAGCCTCTACAGAGTCTCTGGATTCTACTAAAGGTGGGTCACACTCACTTTATGTGTAGAAATATGTGTGTGTGTGTGTGTGTGTATTTGCAGTAGATTGTGGATCAGGACGAATCTTTCTGTCCTAGCCCGGCCCGCGTCCGACAGAGCAGTATCGAATCCAACACGAGCTTGATAGGTACTAAGATATCGACTGGACCTGACACAATTAAAATTACACTATTTTCATAGGCTTAATGACACTCAGGGTATTGTTTGTTAGTGTCTCTAATGGGCACAGAGACGCAAAATACCAACTCGGGATATAGCGAAAATAATGAGAAGACTTTATTCCTCTCCTCTTATAAAGTGGTAAATTTAAAGTGCAACATCTCATCCACATTATCCATAGAAATCATCCTCCACAAATCCAGTTTGAGGCAGTGTTCTTTAAAAGTGAAAAGGCGAAAGTGGTTCATGTGTGTCTGTTTACAGCACACAAATCTGAAGTAAAAAAAGAGATTTCATAAATAATAATAGCACACTTTTGACTTGTATCTAAACTAGAAATGGTAAATGGTCACATTTTTCTATAGTACTTTTCCACCTTCAAGGCACTCAAAGTGCTTTAAAATGCAGAACTCTGATCTTTTGACACTTAAGAGTCTCAAAACGACTGGTTTTACTGTAGACAGCTGACACACAGATGTGTCCGAGTCTAAACCGAGCCCCAACATAAGTTCTAAATATTTGTCCAAAAGGGTTTCCGTGCTCTAATTTGCAAAATTAGTTCCAAAGAGTCTGAAATGATCTTTTATTTAACTCACCCAGCAGTTTGTCTAATTACTCCACAGCTTTTTGTCAATATATTTAATGATGTTTGGCATGTCTCGACAACTTTATTTTCTGTTAAATTTATTGTCATTCACTATTTGTGTGGCCCTATCTGATTTGTGGTCAGTCCCACTTGTCAAAGTGTGATCTAGTCAGATCTCTTTTGTTAAGCAGAGCTGGGCCTGGTCAGGCCTGGATGAGGGACCGTGGGGAATATCAGCAGTGGATACACTAGTATCTGATGTGTGGAGTGAGTGAATAATGCTGTAAAGTGCTTTGGGTGTCTAAATAAATCCAGTGTGATTCTAGAGTAATTATAGCCTGTGTGTATTTCAGGAGTGGAAGCAGATTACACATTTCATTGGTCTCATTCATGCACATTAAGCAGCAATTGTATTGTAACTGTAATAAATGTATATATATACATATATAGTGTATCTTATTTCCAGGAGTGGAGGCAGATCGCAGGTCTCGTTGGGATCGTTGGGGTTTGACTCGAGGACGCAGAGACAAAACTGTGTCTCAGCCCGACATCCCCTCAGCCATCAGCCGAGAGATCTCTGCTCTGAGGACCAGGCAGTACAACAAACTCGCATCAGGTACTTTTACTGTAGTACTGTAACACGTACACAAAGCAGTACATGTCTCTGAGTCCCTGTGCTGAGGAGAAGAATTATTGTGGGGTGAGTTGAAGTGTCCTTTGTCCCCCCATCAGACCAGAGCCTTCAGTTTGAAGGTGATTTGCAGATGGGAGAGGAATTGATTAGTGTCCAGATGACTGTTGCAGATCTAGTGTTCAGGCTTAAGAGCACATCTGCACCTATGATCAAACTGTTAACCTACTGATCAGTGGGCAAAGCTCTACATCGAAACCACTGAATCCTGTTTTGTTTGTGTCCAGATTTTCCTCCAGTTTTCCACATTAAACTCAGGGACCACGTTCTTCTGGAGGGAGACCCCGTGACTCTGAGCTGCCTCCCTGCAGGAAGCCCCCACCCGCACATCAGCTGGGTCAAAGGTAAGCCCCCACCCTCACATCAGCTGGGTCAAAGGTAAGCCCCTATCCTCACATCAGCTGGGTCAAAGGTAAGCCCCCACCCTCACATCAGCTGGGTCAAAGGTAAGCCCCTATCCTCACATCAGCTGGGTCAAAGGTAAGCCCCCACCCTCACATCAGCTGCTTAGAACCTGGAGGTTTGTTCACCATTTTATTTTGATAGAAATGTGTTATTATTTGGTGATGATGGTTGAGGTGGGTTTTGAAGCCCACTTTCTCCTAAAGCAGCAGTTTCCAAACAGTTTCTCTTTATCTGTGGCTGGAGGCTGTAGTCTGCTAACCAGGCTGGCACCACCTAGTTCCTCTGCTCAATTTAATTTCTCTCCAGCGACTAGGTCAGGAATCAGAATACACTAGATGGTTTGCAAGAACTGCAGAAGTTGTAGACCACAAACTGGCCAATCAGTGAAGAGATGAACCAACTCAAGTTGTGATAGCAGATTGCATATGCTATCCTCCTTTGGACTTCCTTTGTCAAATACAAACTTATCATTTTCATCGCATCTTCAATTCGCAAGTTCATCTCGCAGAAATGACAATGATCATTGACAGACATGTTCACTCTCTGCTTTGTTTGCTGTTGTTCCGGCAATTACTTGGACACCACTGAGCGTTCTGACGCATTACATATGTCATGACCAAATAGCAGCGATTGTAAGAAAAAAAGTTCCTGCCTACAGTTGAGTGAACAAATCCTAATGCTGCGAGGTCAGACGGCTGGTGAAACCGGCTGGTGAATCAGGCTAGTAGTGTGCAGTGATGCACAGACTTCGCTCACCCCAGATACTTCCTCCAGGATCCTGAGGCACTATTAGAACACTTGGGCTTCAGCTGCTCCTCTTCTCTCTGGAAGAGCAGTGGCTCTACTCCGAGCTCCTCCAAATACACCAGTATACATTTGGTCAGGATATGATCATTAAGTGTATTATCCTTATAAGGAATACTTACATCAGTTTGTGCTTGTGTGTTTCAGATAAGAAGCCTCTGGAGATCGACTCTCGTATGAACATGATTGCCTGTCCTGACGGGAGACAGTTACTCATGATCATGCAGACGACCAAGAAGGACGCTGGAGTGTACGAGTGTGTGGCTACCAATCCACTAGCATCTACGTCCTCCTCCTGTACCATCTCTCTAGCACGTAAGAGACAAATACTACTACAACTGCTACTAAAACTACTGCAAATACTACTACTGCTGATACTTAAACTACTGCAAATACTTCTACTACTGCTACTGAAACTACTGCAAATACTCTACTACTGATACTAAAACTACTGCAAATACTACTACTACTGCTACTGAAACTACTGCAAATACTTACTACTACTGATACTAAAACTACTGCAAATACTACTACTACTGCTACTGAAACTACTGCAAATACTACTACTACTGATACTAAAACTACTGCAAATACTTCTACTACTGCTACTGAAACTACTGCAAATACTTCTACTACTGATACTAAAACTACTGCAAAATACTACTACTACTACTACTGCTACTAAACTACTGCAAATACTTCTACTACTGATACTAAAACTACTGCAAATACTACTACTACTGATACTAAAACTACTGCAAATACTTCTACTACTGCTACTGAAACTACTGCAAATACTTCTACTACTGATACTAAAACTACTGCAAATACTTCTACTACTGCTACTAAAACTACTGCAAATACTTCTACTACTGCTACTACTGTCAAAACTAGTGAACACTGAAGCATGTACCTCAAAAACAACAGAAATATAAGACAGGATGTCCCATTTAGTTATGTTATAATTTGGTTCAAGATGATTATCCAATCAGAAGACAGAATGAGCCTCACATGAATCTCTTATTTGGGTTGCCAATTCCAAGGCTGAAATCCAGTTGGTTTGAACCTAAAATGCCTCTGGAGGTTCTGAGTTTCCACATGAGGCCTGAACATAAACTAAGAATGAGACAAATGCAGGATGTGTCTCTTTCTCTGCAGGTGAAGACTTTGGGGACACAGGTTCATTTGGGATTGTAGCATTTTATTTAAAACAATAAGAGTGCAGATTACGTACTGTCTCTTTAAAGTACAATACTCTCTTGTCTTTCCTCAGGTCTTCCGAATCGTCCTGGGACTCCAGAGATCCCCCAGAAATACAACCACACGGCTCTGGTCCTGTGGAGGCCCTCAGACACAATGGCCCCCTGCACATATTCTCTGGAGAGGAGGGCGGAAGGTAAGGACCAATCAGACGAGCTAAACCATACAGCCAGCCAATCAGAGAGCAGAGAGGAGGGCAAGGACAGCCAATCAGAGCGAGCTAAACCTTAACCCAGCCAGCCACAGACATGCACCTGCTCTATGGAGAGGAGAGCTCAAGCTCTGTTATTTAGTTCATTGAGAAAAGTATAATAATTAATTCAATTTGGATGGTGATTTTGATTTGTGTTTCAAACAATCTCCAAACTCACGTAATCAAGTTGAAACTATAAAGCTTAGCAAATTTTGTATATTTTTTATATAGTCCCTGACAAAAGTCCTGTCACTTATCCATTTTGTAGAAACAAAAGCTTATAACCTGACTTTAAATGAATCGATTGGTTTTAGAAATGTCTCATATGAAGCTAAAACCCTCCCAAATTATGCTCAATAAACTAAAATAAATTAATGAACACAGAAAGGTCAGATTTTGGCAACGACAAAAGTCTTGTGGCCTTGTCATATGATGCACCCAATCCTAGATTACAGCCTCACCTGTGATCAGTTACTGATCAATCAATTAGTGTGTGTATAAAAAGAACCCAGCAGAACCAGACCTTCACATCAACTGCAACTTGACCTCTGACAACATGCCTAAGATCCACCCTGAGACCAAAGTGTTAATTATCAAGAGGCTGAAGACCAGATCCACTGCTGAGGTGGTGACACCTTCAATGTGTCTCAGCGTCAAGTACAAAGAAGAAGAAAAAGATCTGAAATGACTGGAGATGTTTTTGACAAGCCCAGGTCCAGCAGACGCCACAAGACAACTGCTCAGGAGGACCGTTTGTTGATTCAAAAATCCAAGGCCCCTTTTCCACTGCAGCAGACTCCACCAGGCCTGGTCACCTCAAGTCCCTGTGTCAACCACAACAGTTTGTAGAATTCTGTCTGGAAATGGCCTCCATGGTCGAATCAGTGCACAGAAACCAGCACTAAACAAAAGGCAATTATAAAAACATGTGGCATTTGCCAAGGCCCACAGCCTGCTAAAAGGATGGACACTGGAAAAGTGGCAGAAGGTGGATTTCTCAGATGAATCCTCGGTTGAATTACATCACAGCCGCCGCAAATATTGCAGGAGACCTACTGGAGCCACATGGATCCAAGATTCACCCAGAAAACAGTTAAGTTTGGTGGCGGAAAAATCCTGGTCTGTGGTTCCATCCAGTCTGGGGGTGTGCGAGACATTTGCAGGGTGGAAGGACAAATATCAATATCCTAAAATATCAAGAAGTATTAGCTCCTCTTACATTCCCAACCATAAAAGGGGTCAAATTTTGCAGCAGGATGGTGCTCCATCACATACTTCTATCTCTACATCAAAGTTTCTCAAGGCGAAGAAGATCAAGGTGCTCCAGGACTGGCCAGCCCAGTCACCAGACATGAACATCATTGAGCAGGTCTGGGGTAGAATGAAAGAGGAAGCATGGAAGACAAAACCAAAGAATCTTGATGAACTCTGGGAGGCATGTAAGACGCTTTCTTTGATATTCCTGATGACTTCATCAACAAATTGTATGAATCATTGTCGAACCGCGTGGATGCGTCCTTCAAGCTCATGGAGTCATACAAGATATTAAATCTGGATCTCACAGCACCACTACTTCATTCACTGACGTTATGCAACATATTTTTGTATTTGAAGTAAATTATTCGTTCAATTTTCTGTAGGCCACAAAACTTTTGTCTTGCCAAAATCTGACCTTTCTGTGTTCATTAAATGATCAATCTTTCTTCAGTGAAGCAAATTTATTTTAATATATTGAGCATAATTTGGGAGGGTTTTAGCTTCATATGAGACATTTCTAAAACCAATCGATTAATTTAAAGTCAGGTTATAAGCTTTTGTTTCTACAAAATGGATAAGTGACAAGACTTTTGTCAGGGACTGTATAAACAAGTATATTTATTACATTTTTTTAAAATACAGAGATTATAGAACAGCTGGATATTTAGTTTATTTTGGATTCATTTATGTTTTTCTGCCTTATTTCATGTTCAAAGTATATTTGATTCATTTTATGTTTTATACACAATCACAAAACTGCTCTAAGATTCATATTTGTAGCCTATATTTATTTTCAATTTGAAAGTTTTGCATAAATGATCATTAACAAAGTGGATTTTTTTAAAAGAAAGAAATGCTGAATAAATGCATCGTGTCACTGAAAAATAATCTTTTGAATAATCATGATTTCAATACTGACCAAAGTAATCGTGATAAAGATTTTTTCCATAATCGAGCATAATCGACATCGTATAATGTCTTGAAATGCACTAAGGCAGTGATTACACTATTGTTGTGTGTATGATGTTCCAGGAGAGAGTAACTGGCTGATCGTGGCGACTGGAGTGGCCGACTGTTACTACAACGTGACAGACCTTCCACCAGGGGGCACCTTCCGCTTCAGAGTGGCCTGTGTGAACAAAGCAGGACAGGGCCCGTACAGTAACCTGTCTGAGGTGGTGCGCATGGAGCCGTCAGGTGTGTGCAGATCAGGGTTAGGGTCATGAACACACACAACTGCCACGTTTACATGAGAGCTTTAATTCTAAATCAAAATGATTTAATTCTGAATAAAAGCTTAAACACTTAAACACTTAATTCAGATTATTCAGAATTCAACTTTATTCCAAAGTAAGTGAATGGTTTATTTTAAAGCCAAATTAATTTCTTCCTCGATCATGTAACTGTTTATTTTTCTTAAAAATAATTCCGGTTGTTCAGCTCACACTCGTTGGCCGTCCAGATCAAACGTTGGTCTCGAGCCGATGGCAGAAAACATGAAAATGGAGGATTGGGCTGAGATAGAACCACTCTTCCCTTCTCCTCCTCAGCTGACAGACGTAAACTATGATGAGAGAATTCTCCAACTGCTGGAACAAATGAGAAAAAAGTTTGGATCATGTTTGTGTCCGTGGCGTAACGACAAACTTAGATGACAGAAAATCCGGGAGCAGCTGAAGTGTGTGTTTTCTTCCCAAAGACGTAAATCTGTTGGTGTCTTTGTCCAATCAGAACCTTCCCCACCTCCAGACGCTGACACATGTTAAATAAAGAACATTTAACCAGTTTAACATGTAAACCTCTATTTGGAATTATTATTTCCATGTAAACTTGAAGGAGAATATTTAAATTCAGAACTAGTTAATTCAGAACAATTAATTCAAAAAAAAAAAAAAAAACTCATGTAAACGTGGACAGTGACAGGAGCCAGCAGGTGTGTGCTAAATATAAAGTGTTTTTTATAGAGCCCATTACAGGAGGAGCAGGGTCAGCTCAGCAGAGGTGGAAAAAGTACAGGAAAATTGTAATTAAGTAAAGTATCTTTACTTTCCTTAATTCATTCTCAAGTAAAAGTAAAAGTAACCAGCTAAAAATCTATTCAAGTAAAAGTAAAAAAAAAAATATTTCATTTAAAATGTAATTTGAGTAAAAGTTACTTAGTTACTTTCAGTGATTAGATGTAAAAAAAAAAAAAAAAAAAAAAAAAAAGGATGAGTCATGAATCTAATCCAGCACAAGTTGTTTGAATCAACTTTTAGGTGATACAGACAAACTTTGTTCAGTGGAAACATCTGAGCTGAACACAAACACTGAGCTCTTCATTCTTTTTATACAACTTAAAACTTTAGGTTTCCTCCATTTCCTCCACCCTCTGCTACTTCACTTGAAACGTTATGTGATCAGGATGGAAAATAATTGGTTTCATGAAGGCACATTTTGCTAAACAGATTAAGGTTTTAACCAAATGATAAATACTCCATTTGAGATACACAGGCAGAAGTACATACTGTACATTCCACTCACCACCAAATGCGTTTGCAGATTTGATGTCGAGGTTTTGAACGCTGACAGCTCTCTCTCTTTGTATTATTGAGTTATTCCTTATTTTGTGTTTGAATGCAAATTGCTGTCTTAGGTTTGACCAGGGGTTTTCTTTGCTTTCCTCTCGAGAATTATTCAGTGCACTTTCTTCTTGAATACATCCATGACGACCTTGATCTGTGACTCGACACCAGCATCATCCAAGTTGATCTGAGACAAACTGATGCTTCTGTACACTGACTGAACATTCTAGAGTGAAAATGCCACGTATGCAGTCCTCGCAATTTACTTTTATTACTGGCAGATTGTTTTTTTTGTTTTTGTTTTTTTCCTTTTTCCTTTTTTTTTTTTTTCTCTATCAATCTGATTTTACTCAGTAATGACGGCGGGTTCCAATGTAATGAAATAAAATACTTGGGTCAAAATGTACTCAAGTAAAAGTAAAATAACCTATTTCAAAAATTACTTAACATGAGTAAATGTAATTTGTTACTTTCCATTCTTGCAGCTTAGTTTTTGGATTCCTAACCTAATCCTATTTAAAAAAGATTAATGCCCACAGTCTGGTAAAGGTGGAAGAAATTATTGTACTTCAAAGAAAAAAATGCTATTTATTTTCACCGACATTGCGATTTCAGTTCAACTGAAATGAAATAATATTGTAACCTTAAAGAGCATGTCTTCTATCATAATATACACTGAGCTATGACAGAGACATAGATCAGTTTTCTCTTCTCGTGTCTTAAATATGTGTAAACAGTCTGCAGCTTGTGTGCTATGTCCTGCACTACTTGTGCTTCAAATACAAAATGTCTTAAGATTTCTGATCCAAACTTGTATCTTTCCTTAGAACCGGCGAAGTCCACTGCGACCATCGTGGTGAAAACAGCGCCCTCTGCTGCTCCTCCTGTGGTGGTGAAGTCCTCCATGACCATCCCCCCGATCAAACCCGCTCCACCTAAAACAGCCTCCTCCTCTTCTCCTCCTCCACCCGTCACCTCCCCCTCTCTCTCCCCTCCTCCCCCTGCCCCCTCTCTCTCCCCCTCTCCCCCAGCGCCCTCCCCCCTGCCCCCCTCTCCCTCAGAAACGCTCAAGTCCACCCTCAGCATCAGCGTCACCAAACCCAAGCTGGCTCCTCCTCCCGTGGTCCCGCCCAAACCTCGCAGCCCTGTCAACAAGCCGCCGTCTCCGGTCATCGGTGAGAACTATACACAAAAAAAAATTTAAAATATTAAATCAAATGTGGTAATTTTTTACACTGAAATAACATCATTCTGTGAGAACCACAACTTGGACCAAATGTACTTCTTGTCCTCATGTAGTGGAAGTTTTGTGTTTAAGGAGTCAGTTCTACTGTAGAATCACAAACACATTTAAAGGTTTTACACTCGCTCCTCACAAACCCACAAATACTGAGTCCTACCAAAGTTCTTCTAGATCAGTCCCTGCACTCGACGGCTACAGATTTGGTGCTGGGGCGGCAGAAGTTCAGTTGGTAAGAGCGTTTGTCCACTGATCCGAAGGCTGGTGGTTCGATGTAAAAGAAAAACATCATTGGAAGAGCGGTCAGATCCACTGATCCACAGGTTTCTCGTGAGTTTCTAGCAGGGTTCCCAAGGTTATGGAGATTCTGGAAAAATCATGAGATTTTGTAAATTCAGTGAAAGTTTTGGAAAAGTCATATCATTTCAGTATCTCTTCCACATAGCTCCAGTGTTCTGTTAAAATCTCATGAGGCTATTCTGATTATTTGTGAACGTCTGCACCTTTTGTTTAAAAGAGACGACAGTAAATGCACTGACAGGATTAGAAATGTTCAAAAACTATAATCCCAAACCATAAGGTAAGTGGAAAGAGTTCACATTTCATGTTTAGCCCAAAAACTCTGATCAATTCTACACATGTAGTTGCTGTAAAGTCATGGAAAAGTCACTTTAGGTCATGATTTGTCAGTGAAAAATAATCCTGTTCCAGCTGGCACAGACTGTGCTGCAAGGACAGAACAACAACAATGCTGTTGTTCTGTCCTTGGGCAAGACACTTAACCCGCCTTGGCCCTAGTGTCTGTGTACACTTGTGTGTGTGAGTGAGTGTGTGAGTGTGTGTGTGGGTGTGTGGGTGTGTGTGTGACCATTTATTGTACATCAGTAAATACTAGACATGTAATATTTATTTAATTGTTTCATCACAGCAATGCAATTAATTAGGACAATATTTTATAGATTTTACTTAATTTATTTACATGAATATGACTTATAACATTGAAAAAAAAAAGAGAGTAACAATTCCTCAGTAAATTCCTGCCTGTTAATGGTGGAGGTAAGTACATTTAACTTAATACTGATGAGTAAATTATAGCAGATCTTAAAACGGTAACATTGACTTCAAAAGTGCAAGTGCTTAGGAGGATTTTTTCTAGTAAATCTTATAAGTTCTTTTTTTCAGTGTACACATTTAAGAACACTTAAATACTGTGTTTTCTTGTACTCATAAGTGGGTAGTGAGAAGAATCCCTCAGTCGTCCAGGTAGAATCCATGAGGAGAAAATTCAGTTTGTCGACTGGACAAAAGTGAGTTTGGTTGAAGACGTTTCGCAGCTCATCCAAACTGCTTCTTCAGTTCTGGAGCTGCTTCTTCCAAACTGAAGAAGCAGCTTGGAGGAGCTGCGAAACGTCTTCAACCAAACTCACTTTTGTCCAGTCGACAAACTGAATTTTCTCCTCTCATAACTGAGTAGTTTTATTTATGTTCTACTTTCCTTTAAAGGGAATCTTTGAAAACACTGAATCCAGTTGTAGTCCTAATTTAGACCTGACCTAGTCCTTGTTTAGACCTGTTTAAATCCTGGTTTAGTCCTGTTTTTTTTTTTACTTTACAAATGTCTCAGGACTGATTTAGTCAGGTTTACAAATGTTGTGTAGTCTTGGTATGGTCCTGGTTTAGACCTGGTGTAGTGAAGCCCCTGTTAGACCTTTGTAAATCCTGGTTTAGACCTGCTTTGGTCCTGGTTTAGTGGTTTGGTCCTGGTTTTATGTAGCTCAGTCCTGGTTTTGTCCAACTTAACAAATAGCTTGGTCCTGGTCTAGTCCTGGTGTACTATTGGTGTAATCTTGATTCAGACCTGGTTTAGTCTTGGTTTAGTTCTGATTTATACTTGGTGCAGTGTAATCCTGGTTTAGTGCCATTTAAGTCCTGGTATAGAACTAGTTCAGACCTGGTTATTCTTGGTTCTGTACAATAGTTATTCTCTAATGACTACTGAATAAACCTGATACTTTTAAATGTGATTCTTGTGCGATTTGTAATCGTACCTTTTCATAGATGACCAGTGATCTGTTCAGCCAGAAATTGTAGTTATATATTTCTGTGTAATTCTTCCAGGCAAACCCATATCCTCTGTCCCCATGTACGTCGCAGCCTCTTCCAGGAAAACCCCTCCAGCCCAGCCTCCCTCCTCCTCTACCCCGACCGTGGCGCCCTCCTCTCAGCCTCAGAGTGTGACCTCGCCCCCTCCCGCCACGGTGGCCCCTCCCTCTGTGATTGTGTCTCCCCCGGTGGTGGTGGTGCAGAGCCTGACTCCGGTGGTCCAGGCTGGGGCAGAGAGCCGCGGGCCCCCCTCTGGAAGGATCACTCCGTCTGGACGAAGGACACCTCTGATGGGAAGAACTGGAGAGGGGGCGCTCAGACAGGGAGTACCCCAAAAACCCTACACCTTCATGGACGAGAAGGCCAGGTGAGGGGGTAACTACTGAGGGGGCGGGGTAACTACTTTTATCAGTTAAGTTAAGCAAAATCAAATCATACATTCCATGTGTGCACTTTGAAAAGGCCCTTCATGCATTTGTGACCAAACCACTCGATTCCTGTAACTCTTTGTCTGCTGCACTGACCAGGCCCAGCTCAGCCGCCTGCAGGCTCCAGCAACTCACCTTTTAACTGGAAAGAAGCAGAGGGACCACATCACTCCTGTTCTTAAATCCCTGCACTGGCTCCCTGCACATTTTAGAGTCTATTTTAAAATTGTAATGATTGTTTTTAGGAATCTTAATGGCACCTTCCTATTTATTTGAACTCCTCCAGCCCCATGTCCTATCCAGAGGTCTGTGCTCTGCAGACCAGCACCTCCTGCTGTCCCCAGGAAGAGACTGAGGACCAGAGGAGACAGAACCTTCTCTGTGGTCTCTCCATGATTGTGGAACACTTTGCCATTGCACATTAGAAGTGCACAGTCACTGGAGCATTTTAAATCTTTGCTCAAAACACACCTTTTCTCCTTGGCATTTGCCCAGAGTGAGGAACAGACACCTTGGCACCATTATCTCTATCATTGTTATTCTGCTTGATTTGCTTATTGTTTTATTTCTCTGTAAATGTTGTTCAGCACTTTGGTTTTAAATGAGCTATACAAAGATAAAGATTTGATTTGATATTAACTCAAAGATAAACATAATCTTTTTACACCGTTACTTTCAACGTATGCAATTCTAAAAGAATAAATTCTCCTTTTTAAGGTGCCTGACCTCGCTCAGTCTGATGAATTCTCACTATTTTTGAATTCACAAACTCACGAGAATCTACCCTGTGACTAGGCACAGAGGTTCAGAGGTGGAGCAACCAAAAGAACCAAAACACAGGCAGATGTACTTGAGACGATTTTCATAGAAATACAGACTAGTTAATTTGTGAAAAGCATGTAGAGGGAAGCACTTTTGTGGGGGGAAAGATGTTTATGCTTTTCTCTCAGTTGGATTTAAAGAAAGTTGGATTTCTCACTTCATTCTTCTGCATTTGCCTCGACCATTTTCAGCAAGAGCCATTCACCAGATTGATAATGTTTAGAGCCAAATTCCACTTATCAGTCTGCTGTGAACCAGGTCATAACTTCACCTCTCTCTCTCTTTCCTCTTTCTCTTTCTCACTGTTTCTCTCTCACTCCTTTCTCCTTCTCTTCTCTTCTCTCTCTCTTCTCTCTCTCTCTCTCTCCCTCTCTCTCCCTCTCTCTCCAGGGGTCGGTTTGGTGTGATCCGTGAGTGCCGGGAGAACTCGACAGGAAACTTGTTCATGGCTAAAATTGTTCCGTATGAAGCGGAGACAAAGCAGAGCGTCCTTCAGGAGTACGACATCCTGAAGTCTCTTCATCACGAGAGGATCATGGCTCTGCACGAGGCCTACGTCACCCCCAGATACCTCGTCCTCATCTGCGAGTACTGCAGCGGCAAGGAGCTCCTGCACAGCCTCATCGACAGGTACGGCAGGTGCAGACAGGGCCACACAGCTCCTGCACAGCCTCATGGACAGGTGCAGACAGGGCCACAGAGCTCCTGCACAGCCTCATGGACAGGTGCAGACAGGGCCACACAGCTCCTGCACAGCCTCATGGACAGGTGCAGTGTAATTGTAGAATATGAAAGTTCATCACTTCATATGACACATCACAGCTGATCATCTCTTCGGCGCAGACTAAGTTTGGAGCAGGAATTACACAGATACGAACCATAAACCAGGTCAACAAATCTGCATCAGTGACAGAGACTCAGCAGACTCCACCTCTGACCTCTGACCTCTGACCTGTCTCAGCTCAGATTAAAGTCTTCTCTCTTCTCTGCTCAGGTTCCGTTACTCTGAGGACGATGTGGTGTCCTACATAGTGCAGATCCTTCAGGGTCTGGACTATCTCCACACCAGGAGGATCCTCCACCTGGACCTGAAGCCGGAGAACATCGTCGTGACCTTCATGAACTCTGTGAAGATCATCGACTTTGGAACGGCTCAGAACTTCAACCCCCTGTTCCTCAAACAGTTCAGCCCCGCCATCGGGACACTAGAGTACATGTGTGAGTACTTTTATTAGAGTACATTTGTGAGTACCTCTACTGCAGGCAACAGGCCGGCTAGAGTACGTGTGTGAGTATTTCTGCTGTAGTACATGTGTGAGTACTTTTACTACAGCCATCGGGACACTAGAGTACATGTGTGAGTACTTTTATGGCAGGCAACGAGATACTAATGTACATATGTGAGTATCTAAGTAGTAATCTATTGTAGTATTTCTCCTAGAGTACTTTACCATGTGTACATATGTGGCTGTATATTTAGATAAATGGACAGAGTTTACCTGCTGCCACCGCGTTCCAAATAGGAAGTGAGTGTCTGGTTCCTTTGAGTGCTGACTGTAATTCACTTTTTATTGAAAAACTGTTGCTTCTCTCTGTAACTGCAGCTGTGGGCCTCGTTATTTTGGTCTTAAAATGTTTGTACTAACCCCATCTACATGATCCTGGTGTTTTTATTTCACTATTTTGTCCCTAAATGAAGCTGAGCTTCATTTGACTGGAGTCAAACACTGTGGGTGATGTTACACTCCCTTAGGGTGTGCTCAAAATATCTCAAGCACAGATAGTCCTTGAAGCATGGTACTTTTGTCCAATGTGAGTGCAATTGAACCTTGTTGGAACTTTGGCCCAGTTGGAGGAGGTGGAGGCAACAGGAGGTTGCTCATGTAGCACACACACACCCACACACACACACACACACACATGCACACACACACACACACATGCACAGACACACACACATGCACAGACACACACACACATGCACACACACATGCACAGACACACACATGCACACACGACTTTACTGTGCCTTGTGTGTGCGCTGATATTACTCATAGGAGGAAAACAGTGAAAAAACACACATATGGTGAGTCTGTGCTTACCTTCAATAAGGACTGTGACAGAGACAGAAGTTTTGCAGCCTCACTCCTCCATCTCTCCTCACTCCTCCACACTGTTGTTATAAACATGAACTCACGGAGGAGTGCGTATCACAGCAGGACTCACATCTGCTTCACTGTTTAGGAGATATTTCATGTCGCTGGACTCAATTCTCCCCTAAAGTTGATCGCCCTGTGTGATGAAATCACTGGGCCGAGGCTCAGTTCGGTTGTGCCAGTGTGAGTGTGGTGAGTGGTGCCCATAAAACCCACAGCAATTGTGCTTCAAAAGGCCTAGTCTCATGTGCCCTAAGTCCACTTCTTCATACAGACTGTGGATTTGACTTGTACATGGTGTATTTACTGTTTAAAGTCAATCTGATGTTTGTGTTCAGCTCCTGAGATGTTGAAGGGAGATGTAGTCGGACCTCCAGCCGACATCTGGAGTATAGGAGTCCTCACCTTCATCATGTGAGTCTGAACCAGGACTAAACCAGGAATAAAGCAGGACTGCAACAGGACTAAACTCGGTCTAAACCCGCTCTCTTTCAGGTTGAGTGGGAGGTCTCCGTTCCTGGACCAAGATCCTCAGGAGACTGAAGTCCGGATCCAGACAGCGAAGTTCGATTTGAGTCGACTTTACCAGAACGTGTCCCAAAGTGCCTCTCTGTTCCTCAAGAAGATCCTCTGCAGCTACCCCTGGTGAGAGGGAGGGCATCTGACACACAGGGAGGGCATCTAATACACGGGGAGGGCATCTGACACACGGGGAGGGCATCTAACATACGCCGACATTTCAGAACATGTTTGTAGAAGTCTAAACTTCAGGATGAGCAGCTTTTACGCAGAATAAGACCTCATGGAGACACAGGGAGGGCATCTGACACACAATGAGGGCAACTGATACACAGGTAGGGCATCTGACACACTCTTATCTCTTTCAGGGCTCGTCCGTCGATCAAAGACTGCTTCAGTAACTCGTGGTTACAGGACGCGTACCTGATGAGACTTCGGCGTCAGACTCTCACCTTCACCACGACGCGCCTCAAAGAGTTCGTCTCCGAGCAACAGAAACGCCGCGGCCTGAACGCCACCAAACACAAAGTCCTCCTGCGGTCATACCAGAGCTCGGCCACGCCCACCTTAGCCCCGCCCACATCCCCCACGCCTGTCAATCAATGAACCACGCCACCTTAGCCCTGCCCACAACCTCCACGCCTGTCCGTCAATGAGCCACGCCATCCTAGCCCCGCCACCAAACACGAAGTCCTTTTACGGTCGTACCAAATCTCGACCACGCCTGCCCAGAGCCCCGCCCACACCCGCCACGCCCACCAATGATGTCATAGTTTCAGATGAAGGGAGGGGCCTACCTAACGTTTGGAGATTCGCCGTTTTTAAAGAGATCTTCAAACTTCTGCTCCACAAATGTTCCTTCTCATGACTTTGTTTACCATTGGCTTAAAGTTGCACTGTGTAACTTTTCTGCTGCTTGTCTCCATGGAGATGCTACCGCTTTGTCTGGAATGTTCCACCATCTTTTTGCATTTTTTTTCAAGTGTATGTGTTTTTATTACTGAAAATGCTAAGAAAAATATGCACCGCCTCTCGCTTCTCCACAGATCTGACCTGTAACTTAGCTTCTCTCCATAGAAATCAACAGGTTTAATGCTTTACTGTGGAATATTCAAGACAAAAAAAAAAAGAAAAAAGCATCTGCATAGAGACAAATTGTTCCATTACAGCCTTTTCGTTTCCTGACAACACTCACGTCTTTGGGGTTGAATAACGGCTCCATTTTCTGAAGCGATTGTGAAAAAATTGTTTGACTTTCGTTTATTTCTCCCGACAGAGAAGACGTTGAACTTTGTGCCAGTTTTTGTTTCCTGTGGATAGGCCCAGGAATTACAGATACGAACCATAAACTAGGTCAACAAATCTGCTTTCAAGTCTCCTCCGTTTCGATTCGGGCTCATCTTGATTTTGGATTTTTACGACATCACCACGAACTGAAAGACTTCACTTACACGGACGCCATTTTGGATCCTGGACACGGACGCCATCTTGGGTCTTTTGATGAGATTTCTATTTTTGTATCTGGACGTTGTTTGTAACCGGACTGGTCGCGTCTCCGTACCTCAGAGTTTGTACGTTTTTGGATAAATAGCTCTTCATTTTTCGAGTCTATTCTTGTACAAGTCTAAAGCATTTTAAAACAGGCTAAACTTCTGGCTTTGCTGACTCTTGTACTGTTCGCTCCATGTTTTTGAATGGCGATGCTAATGCTAAGCTAATTATGTCCTTACTGAACTCCAAATGACTGTTTAGAATCATGAATGAACTCTTTAAATCTCCTTTTTCTGCATTTTGAACTACTTTAAATACAAGTAAAGATCTCTCAGTCCTGCTCAAACATAAAAATAGGCCGTTTTAATCAGGCTAAAAACAATAGCACTGAGCTTGGTTAGCAGCGGTAGTGTAGTGAATGTGACTTTAAAACTTTAAAAGCCCAGAGGAGCACTTCTCATTCACCACCTGATGATGTCACAAGGTGTTACAGAGTGTAAATCTGCAGTTTTACTAAAACATGTGTACATGAGAACAGGATTAAAGAACCACTGTGGAACCTTTCCTCACATTAGAGCAGGGTTAAAAAAGACAGACGGTTCAGCAGAAAACAGGAGTTTTAAACATGATAAACACTTTAACTGCAGCGCACTGTTACAAGTAGAACATTTACATCACATTCAGTTATATTGTTATTTAAATCCCTTTAGAACTTCTACAGACTAGACTGTTTATGTGAGTTTAAACCAGGTCTACACCAGGTCTAAACCAGGTCTGAAACTGGTCCAAACTAGGTCTAATCTGGTTTTACTCAAGGACCAGGTCTAAACCAGATCTAAACAAGGTCTAAACCAGTTTCAAACCAGGTCTAAAACTAGTGCAAACCAGGTCTAAACCAGGTCTGAACCTGGTCCAAACTAGGTCTATTCCAGAACCAGATCTAAACCAGGTCTAAACAAGGTCTAAATCAGATCTGAATCTGCTCCAAACTAGGTCTAAACCGGGTCTATTCCAGGACCAGGTCTAAACCAGGTCTAAACAAGGTCTAAACCAGATCTGTAACTGGTCCAAGAAAGGTCTAAACCAGGTCTATTCCAGGACCAGGTCTAAAAGAGGTCAAAATCAGGTCTAAAACTGGTCCAAACTAGGTCTTAACCAGGTCTATTCCAGGACCAGGTCTAAACCAGTTCTAAACCAGGTCTAAAACCAGGTTCAAACCAGGTCTAAACCAGGTCTATTCCAGAAGTAGGTCTAAACCAGGTCAAAATCAGGTCTAAAACTGGTCCAAACTAGGTCTAAACCAGATCTATTCCAGGACCAGGTCTAAACCAGTTCTAAACCAGGTCTAATTCGGGTCTAAACCAGGTCTAAACCAGGTCTAAACCAGGTCTGAACCTGGTCCAAACTAGGTCTATTCAAGAACCAGATCTAAACCAGGTCTAAACAAGGTCTAACTCAGATCTGAACCTGGTCCAAACTAGGTCTAAACCAGGTCTATTCCAGGATCAGGTCTAAACCAGGTCTAAAGCAGGTCTAAACCAGGTCTACACCAGGTCTAAACTGGGTCTAAACAGTCTAAAGGAGCTTACATTTCTTGAGTTCCAGATAGTCCCAGGCTTTGATGAGAGTGTTTTTAAAAAGGGCTCTAGTGAACCTTCCCTTTAAGCGTTAGGACAAAATAGAGACATGGGGTTCAGTCAGAATGAAAACCAGTGTCCAGTTCCACGTCACGTCTGCTGCTCATTTTCTAACCTGTTTTTCCTTCACCTCTTGTTTTTCTGTTCTGTTGAATGATCAGTTTCATAGGATAGACTTTTTGAAACTTTCTGGTCATTTTGCCTGAAGTTTGTGCAGAAAAAACATCCGATTTGAATAAAGTTGTATTTTGTTGGGAGAATATTTTGGTGTTGCGTGCCTCTTGCCAGACTGGAAATTTAAACCAAACTTTTAGAATTTTGGAGGCTATTTTCCGACATTTTTAGAACTTTTTTTTTGGTCCAGTTTGGACTCTGAATGTGAGTGCGGTCGATAGCTCTTCCTTTATTTATTGAGCGAGTGTCTGTTAAAAGTTTATTTGTGGCATGGAAACGGCATGACACTGCTGCAAATATGGATTTAATAAAAGACTCATTATTTAAACCAGGATTTGGGGACATTTTTCATTCAAACTCCAACATTTTTGGTGGATTTGGTCCAACTGGCCTTCTCTCCTCAGCCCCAAGGACACACGATAGTGCGATGGTAAGGTGCAGAAGGAACCAGGTCTGAACTAGGACTAAACCAGGACTAAACCAAGACTAAGACAGGTCTAATACAGGTTTAAACCTGGTCTAAGATTTTTAAGGTACTTTATTGTAGCAGTAGGGAATTTTCTCCTCTGCATTTGACCTTAAGTGCCGTTGGGGCATCTCCTCAGGAGCAGTGGGCGTGTAATCCTACGCTCAAGGACCCATCTATAGATTATGAGCTTGTCTTGATCAGGATTACTGCATTTTTCAGACTATAAATCACTCCGGAGTATAAGTTTCACCAGCCAAATGTGTAATGAAGAAGAAAAAAAAAAACATATATAAATTGTACTTTTTGAGGGAAATGTATTTTATAAAATCAGAGACCAGGAGCAGAGAGAACAACAGACTGTTAACATCACATATGAACAGTTCTTCAGATAAACTATAACATAAACAACAGAACAGAACAAGTTTAACCAAACTCTCCATCTCACTCCAAATCACTAAATCCATTCAATTCTTCATCCTCGGTGTCACTTCTGAACAACTCGACCTCCGGAGGTAAACAGAGCGCCGCTTCCTCTTCTGTGTTGCTGTCGTCAGACTCAGCATCAGTTCCAGTTAGAATTATTTGTGTGACTGACATGATACAGACAGAACAGAGGCTCTTTCTGCAGGAGACATGTGCAGTAGAGTGAAGTGACAGTGGTACAGGAGGAACAGGAGCAGCACATACTCACACACAAGACTAGAACCTCTCACTGCTGTCAGTGTGAATATTTTGATATGTAAGCCGCACTGGAGTATAAGTCACAGGAAACACCCAAATTGTGAAATAAATGCGACTTATAGTCTGAAAAATTTGGTCCCAAATTTGCATGTTCTGGGTTGATGGGGGAAACCGACATGCCCAGAGCAAACCCACCCAGACACAGGGAGAACATGCAAACTCCCCGGGAATCAAACCTGGAACCACTCAAACCAGGTCTGAACCAGGCTGAAAATGAAGACTACACCAAGTTAGAAGCATTTCATCAGTTCCAGTGTTTTTAAAAATGGCTCAATCCAAGCTTCACTTTAAGATTAAACACACATATTTAGTTTATTGTGTGAGTTCAGTTCAGGACTTATCCATGTCTCAACTCACCAAAAAATAAAAAATAAAAACTAAATCAGAACACCATCCTGGCCTTAGCATTTAGAAACCTGTACTTGAGCAATTGTTTTCAGAATTCTTAACACGTCAAAAACACATATTTTTTGTGTAAACTGAGACATAAATTGTAATTCCAACCAAATCTCACGTGATCTTCTAAAGTTTTCTCGATGCACTTTCTCCGCTCTTCATGTGCCTGAGCTCCTCCCTCTGAAACATAACAGAATTCCCACATCTATTAAAGTCTAAATCAGGACGTGTCTATAAGGAACCCAGATCCAAGTCCAAACAAGGACAAAACCCAGACCCCAGGACCCGCTCTAGACCCGGTCTGGACCCCCTGTAGACCTCCTGTAGACCTCCTGTAGACCTGATATAAAGAGGGAGCGGTCTGTGGGGTCTGGACCAACTCTGGACTGTGGAGGACTCAGAGAAGGTAAGAGATCTGGTTTAGGTGCTTTTTTTATTTACTCCAGAAAGTAACTAACTGTAAATACTCACATTACTGTGTGAATATTTTGGTAACTACATGTTCTTTTTTTCTTTTTGTCATTTTAACCATTTAAAATCTTATTAGTTTGCAAGAATCCTAAGCATTTCAGAACATGTTTGCAGACGTCTATACTACAGAGTGAGCAGCTTTTACACACAATAAGACCCTATGAAGACACTGGGAGAGTAAAACTGTACAGCAGGTGGAAGAGTTACACAGTGGATCTCTAAATGCAAACCGTATTCTCTGTATTGTTCCAGATGTCGGCCAAAGTGGGTCCTCCTCCAGGCTGCACCATCAACATCTCAGACCCCCAGGTCCAAGAGGCGGCCATCAGGATCCAGGCATCATACAGAGGACACAGGTGAACATGTTTCATACACTCGATGAACATGATTATAACAGATTAGTACTCTGCTCTCTGTCTCTGTCTCCTCTGTCTCTGCCTCTGTCTAAGTCACTGACTCTGCTCCTCTGTCTCTCTTTCTCTGTCTCTGTCTCTGCTCCTCTGTCTCTGCTCCTCTGTCTCTGCTCCTCTGTCTCTCTCCTCTGTCTCTGTCTCTGTCTCTGCTCCTCTGTCTCTGCTCCTCTGTCTCTGCTCCTCTGTCTCTGTCTCTCTCTGTCTCTGTTCCTCTGTCTCTGTCTCTGTCTCTGTCTCTGTCTCTGCTCGTCTGTCTCTGCTCGTCTGTCTCTGCTCGTCTGTCTCTGCTCCTCTGTCTCTGCTCGTCTGTCTCTGTTCCTCTGTCTCTGTCTCTGTTCCTCTGTCTCTGTCTCTGCTCGTCTGTCTCTGCTCGTCTGTCTCTGCAGTGAAACATGACAGACAGGTGGAGGGGGTTTGTGTAAAGGGTCCCGGTGGTGGAGGGGGGAGGTGCTTCATGAGCCGTGTGCTTGTTCCTCCTCCTCGTGGGCAGTGTGAGCTCAGGTTCCACAGAGGTTCTTAAGCTGCTCATGTCAAAGAAATAAAAAGAAATGTAAAGACAAACAGCAGCAGACGCTCAGGCAATTGATACTTTGGAGTGACATCGCACTGGGGGTGCTCTACATGTATCTCTGGTTAGGGTGACCAGATTTTCAAACTCAAAACCTGAAACACTGTTGGTTTGTGGTGGTTGGTAATAATACAATTGTGAAACAAACTGAGTAACTAAGGAAAACTCTTCTGCACACAGCACATTCATGACCGAGGCAGTATAGTCACAATTTCTCTGTCTTTTGGTCATTTTTAAGCAGCTTTTCTGTATTTTATTTAAATAAATGACAGATTATGCATCTCTTTACTGTTGGCAGGATCAGATTGGTCAAAAATAGGGACACTTGGGACATTTCTTGTAATAAGAAAACTGGGACAAATCAGTGGTTTTGGATGAATCCACTGGGACTGTCCAGAGTAAACAGGGACGTCTGGACACTCTACTGCGTGTGGAAGGTTCATCAGTTACCATGGAGACACAATGCACACGAGCACACTGTCAAAAAAAGTTTTAAGATCATTTGAAAACTGAAGAAAAGATACAAAATGGGTTTAAAGAGCACATTTTCAGGAGCATGTGATCAGTGTAAGCATTCATGGTTCTGTTTAGGACAAACTGAAGAACTGTTCTTTCTAGTCAGATTGTGTTAAAATGAAAACCAGATTAAAGTCTAACTTGAGTAACAGAGCAGTGCCTACAGTTGGCTTCACACATAAAACCTGACGTCCTCTCTTCGATCTCCTCAGGTCCCGTAAGGAGCTTCGGGAGAAGGGCCCTCCTCGGATTCTGCAGGTGGGAATGTCCCAGTGTAAAACTTTAGAGTCACAGTCACTACAGAGAAAAGAATAAAGTTTTATTTTAGTTCTTAACATCATATTGTTACTTATAGAGGAGAAATTATTTAAAAGTTTTAAAAGTTCATCAGAAACATGCCTGAAGAGGTTTCAGATGTCATCCATGCATGTTTGAGTAATCTAGCACTGCTTAATAGTACAATCCTGTACAAGGCTCCTCCCACCGCCTACAGTACAATATACAAAACAATACATTATAAATGAACAAACCTGATGTGATGTGCAGTAGTTTCATTAGGGGGACACACTCTGTGATGGTGCTCTGAAGGGGGAGTGATCTGTGCTTGTGTGTGTTCTATAGTTATCTGTCCTACAAAGGCAAAAGGTCTTAACTCTCCAGAGTGTGAAGCTGAGAAAAATGACTTCAAAGTTTCTGTTTTATCTAGACAAAAGTAGAATAGGCAGGGCTCCCAAAATTTGACAACTAGTTACTGTAATATATAAGAAATATTTGTATGTGAAAAATATTGAGCTCAAAATGTCCCTTTGACCTTATTTGTCAGTTCCTGTTCTGTGTCTTTGTATCATGAGCAAAAAAATACGTTTTGGTGCATAGACAAAAGGCAGAAACTGACATGATCATGATTTGTTTGATTTTCTTCAGATTTTCAACCATTAGAAGAAAAACACCTCACCAAGATGTGTTTGTTTGAAATGATCTAGAAGAGTTTTAGATTTTCTGTTTAGTTCTGATCAGGATCCTGTGGTGACATTTACACACTGAAACAGTTTGACACAAGTGACTTTGCAGTAAAGTGTGTACAGTTTGAATAAATACACACAATACTTTCACTTTAAAGATCATTGAAGAATAATTGAATACAAAGTTTTATTTATTTAATGTGTTCAGATCCTGAGCCAAGGCCACAACAAAAAGAAATATGGATTTTAAAATAAAATATATTTATGAACTAAACCAAAAACAAAACATACACTGTTTCTGCCTTTGGCCTTTGCACAAAAACTTATTTTTGTCTCATGATACAAAGACAGAGAACAGGAACTGACAAATAAGGTCAAAGGTCAATTTTGAGCTCAATATTTTTCACATATTTATTGACATGATAAAGCAAATCTCAAATACAAACAACATGACATGAACTGATCTTTGACCAGACATGATGTTACGGCGTTCTGCCGTTCTGCCATTGAGAGAGCAGGTATAACCTCTGACCCCTGTGGATCATTATGTTTTCATTTGGACTTTTAAAATCACAGTATCGTGACTACTGACTTCTGCGTTACAAAACTGTGGTGTCCAATGACGTGGTCGTAAACATCATGACAACAAAGTGACACCAAAATGACAACGCGACACTGACAACTGGAGAAGGAAGTGTGTACTAGGGTTGTGCAAAAATATCAAAATACCGATATATCGTATCATTTAATGTGATGATACAATATGGATATCGTGTGTTGCTGTATCGATATATCGCCAAGAGTATTTTTGTTGTATAATTTACTAAATTATTTTGTTACAGTTACAGTTTTGTTGTTTGTTCAGAGGAAGGAAACTGGTTTATGTGACACATTTGACATTTTCACTGTTTTGATGATTAAAATGTTTGTGTTTCATATGAACGTTGCACAAGACGTGGTTTAACAAAGACTTTTAGTGTCACACATATGATTCAGCCTTTATTTTTACTGAACCATATAGAATACATTTGAAATATATTGTATTGAATCGAAAGTGCACTGTATCAAGATATGTATCTTGGCCTTTGGTATGTATCATATCAGCAGCTTCTTAATGATACCCAGTCCTAGTGCATACAGAGCTGTAGGTGTGAACTGGTGGAGCTGAAAAACAGTTGATCTGCTTGAAAACAAGTGATTAAAGATGACTCAAATACAACTTTGAGGGCATAAATAAGAGGAAACAGCTGTAACATGGTTCAAAGTTGTAAAAGTCCATTTAGCAGAACAGTTGTGCTGTAAATATTGATCATAGTTGATCCAGTGTCTTGTCCTGCCTGCAGGAGCTGAGGGACGTGGTTCTGGTGGAGGGCAGTGCAGCTAAACTCTCCTGTAGAGTCTCCGCCTTTCCCGACCCCTTCATCGTCTGGTCCAAAGACGGACAGCAGCTGCAGGACGGGCCGAAGTACCGCTACGTGTTTGAGGACCCGGACGTGGTGGCGCTGGTGGTGCGGGACGGCGAGCTCGGCGACCTCGGCAAATACACCGTCACCGTGAAGAATCCGTTTGGACAGACCACAGACTCTGCGTCCATCACAGTGGAGGGTGAGTCTCCACTCAGCTCTTCTGTAGGACGATGGGATGAGACAGGAGCAGGGACAGGTCCAGCTGATACTTTGCAGCTGATGTCATCAACATTCCCGGGCTTGTGATACTAACCGAAGGCACTACTCTGTCTGTAATTTGTAATTTGAGTTTTATTTTAACACAAGAAGTGTCTAAACTAGAACAGGTGAACTGATTTGTGCTGTTTAACACTTTAGTCTCTAGCTAACCAACAGTTTTTAGTTGAAAATCAAACTCCTAAACAGGACCATGGAATAAATCATTATCCTGACTATTTTGGTCAATATTGAATTCACAATTATTCAAAAGATTATTTTTTAGTTACATGATGCATTTATTCAGCAATTCTCTCTTTCAAAAAAAAAAAACTTTGTTACTGATAATTTACGCAAAATTTTGAAAATAAAAAGAGGCTATAAATCTGAACCTTAGAGCAGTTTTGTGATGTATAAAACATAAAATGAATCAAATAAACTTTGAACATGAAATAAGGCAGAAAAACATAAATGTACCAAAATAAACTCTATATCAACTCTTCTACAATCTTTATATTTAAAAAATAAATAAATAAATAAATATACTTATTTAAATATAAAATGCACTGTTAAAAATAACAAAGATGACCAAAGTGCTGTACAGAAAGATAAAAACATATGTATAATACAATGAAAAAAAATATATATACAGCAATTATTGAAGAGTAAAAGACTCAAAACCAGTTCAAAACCAAAGAAAACAAGTGTTTTAAGAAGTGATTTAAAAGCAACAAGTGAGTTGCCTTGTCTTATGTGAATAGGCAACTCATTCCATAATTTAGGCCCAACAACAGAAAATACTCTGAGCTTCCTCCTGGACTGAGGGACAAGAGCAGAGTCTGGTCAGCTTAGAGGAGAGTGTGGCACCAGCAGGTCAGAGAGGTGCTGTGGGGCAAAGTTATTTAGCTTTGAAAAACAAATACAAGTATTTAAATATAAAAAAAATTAATAAAATCCCCAAATAAACTTTGTAAGTTTGTTGTACTTTGTTTCAACTTGATTATATGATTTAGGAGATTGTTTGACACACAAATCGAAATTGCAATAAAAATTCCGTTAACTGTCCAGCCTTACCATGAACGCTCTGACTAATCACAGGCTCCTGAAAATGTGTTCTTTAAATCCATTTTGTACTTTTTCTCCAGTTTTCAGACTATTTTAAAACTTTTTGGCTATGTTTGCAAGTGTGTGTATTGCATTATGATAGTAACTGCTGAATATTCTGCCAACATACATGTAGAACACCCCCAGTGTGATGTCACTGCACTGTATCTATAGAGTTGTTAAGATGATGTCACTTCCAGGTCTAACCGACAACTTCACGGCTCATTTCTGCTTCGTTTTTGTTCTTTATTCATCAAAATAGAGACAGTTACCATTGAAAAATTTAAGTTTAACCACAAACTGCATCAAACATGTGAATAATGTGGTAACATTCGATCACCAGTGTGTAGCTCATTAACCTGTCACCACTAACTCAGATGTGTTGACCTGGTTCATGGTTCATCTGTCTTTAATTCCTGGGCCTATCCACATGAAACAGAAAGTTCAGCCTCTTCTGTCAGGAGGAATAAACCAAAGTCAAATTATTTTTTCACAGCCGTTTCAGAAATTAGTGCCATTATTCAAACCCAAAGAAGTGGGTGTTTGAACTTTAAGACATAAGATTCATATGACAATTTTGTTGAGAGAAACATTTGTGGATCAGAAGTTTAAAGATTTCCTACAGTTGCTTTGTTCTGTCGTTCCAGTCCCTGCTAGAGTTTCTAAAGGTCCTGAGAGTCTGAGGTCCAAACGTGGCTGCACCGTGACCCTGAAGGCGGAGATCAGCGGAGAGCCCCCCCCGCTGGTGGCCTGGCTCAAGGACGGGGACGACATCGATGAAGACGACAGGTGACTGCACAAAACACTGACGTGAAATGTCACAATCTGTGATGGTCGACTAAAGCAGTAAACAGGAATTTATGAAAAGGTTCATCAACTTCACCTCGGTGTTCCCTGCACCAGTGTTTCCCAAACGTTTTTCTGGGGACCCATATCTGAAAAGTCACAAACCTTCACAAACCAAGTCAATCGACATTATTCATGAATCACAAAATAAAGGTGGATTTGAGCATTACTGAACATTAATGAGGATATTTGAGTGATCGTGTCTCTGAACTATTAGTATTACTCAAGTAATAATGTATTAAGTTTTAAACAATGAAAAACAGTCATTGAAGCAGCAATAAAAGGATCCATAAGTCGAATATTTGGTCATTAAATGTAGAACATTTCTTTTTCTTTTCAACATTCAATTGAACCAGAAATACTGGAACAAAATACAGTATTTTTCAGACTACAAGTCGTTCCAGAGTATAAGTCGCACCAGCCAAAGAATGTATAATGAAGAAGAAAAAACATATAAGTTCAGAGACCAAGAACTGACATTTCCTGTGTAAAGTCAAGTTCTAGTAAGAAGAATAGAAGAGAACAACAGACTGTTAACGTCACATATGAACAGTTCTTCAGATAAACTATAACATAAACAACAGAACAGAACAAGTTTAACCAAACTCTCCATCTCACTCCAAATCACTAAATCTATTCAATTCTTCATCTTCGGTGTCACTTCTGAACAACTCCTCGACCTCCGGAGGTAAACAGAGCGCATAAACGTAGCTTTTCATCCAACTCAGCATCAGTTCCAGTTAGAATTATTCGTGTCTTTGTGAATCTCGACAGGATGGTTTCAGTGTCACTGAAGTCCAGACTTTGTCCATCCATCCAGTGAGTTCAGGAAAGTTTCATGGTCCATCCTCCTGGTGTCACAAGTTTCTCTCTCACTCCAAACTTTCTTTCTGCTGCTCGATTATCGTTTTCAGCTGCAGATTTCACGACTTGCAGTTTGTTAATCTGCAAAATCTGATTTTGTTTTTGGGGTCATTTGTGTTCAGTTTTCTCAGTCTTTGTCTTTATAAGTTTGTTTAAATGTTAAATTGTTCAGTGGTGCAGAAGTAATGATGCGATCGACTGACATGATACAGACAGAACAGAGGCTCTTTCTGCAGGAGACATGTGCAGTAGAGTGAAGTGACAGTGGTGCAGGAGGAACAGGAGCAGCACATACTCACACACAAGACTCTCCACGCTTTAGTGTGAAAACTTTAATATATAAGTCACACCGGAGTATAAGTCACAGGAAACACTCAAACCATGAAAAAATGTCACTTATAGTCTGAAAAATATGGTAGTCAATAAAATAATTACAAAAAAGATTAGAAATGATGCAAAACATGTCTTAACATTTCAGCTTTTCTAGTGAGATAGTTGGACCTGTGTGTGTTTTTGTAGTGTGTTCAGTCCGGGTGCAGGAGGAGACGCAGCAGCAGATCAGGAGCAACTTCAGTCTGTTTGTTTCTGTGTTTTATCTTCATTTCTGTGAGCCCAGAAAATCACATTTCACACATATCTGTAGTAGTAAAAGGAATAAACACATTCACAGACATTCTCATTTGTCAAAACTCTATATTGCAGATCGACATGCAGATCGTGACAAGGCGACGAAAAAAAAAGTCTTGCGATCCATCTGAGGCTCATGGCGCAGTCTTTGGGAAACAATTTCCTACACGCCATTGTTAGGGGTGTCTGTAGGAGCAGCAGGTGAAAAAGTAGTGCACTCAAAGTTTCCCACACTGCACCTGGAAAATCATGTCCAGCACTGGTCACTGGTCAAAATACACAATGCACTGAGAGAAAACACACTGTCCTGAAATCAACACTTATGTTCCAAGTCCATATTACAGGTCAGATATTATTCGTGCTCTAACCTGCCCTGTTTGTGTTTCAGAGTGTTCTTCGACATCGGTGACACCACCACCATCCTCACCATCAAAAACGCTCAGCTCCTCGACTCTGGCAAATATGAAGTGTTTGTGGAAAATAACCTGGGAACAGACCAGTCCTTCGCCCGACTGGACATCATCTGAAAAGAGATGGAGAGAGAAGAGAAGAGAGAAGAGAGAGAGAAGAGAAGAGAGGAGGAGAGAAGGAGCAAAGGGGCAGAGAGAGACCTTCAACCAACTGGACGTCATCTAAAACTCACCTCTGAACATAAACTGTCAATGTCTGTAACACTAATACAAATCCAATCTTTACAAATCTCTACCTTGCAAAAAAGTAATAAGAGCATCACATTATCAACTTATAATGAACCAACCAATGTGTTATTTATAAACCTTCAAGCTTTTAGGGTTTAGTCGACCTTTACACTTTGAAAATCATGTTCAAAGTAAACATCAGTCTCTTTTCAAAATCTTTACAGAACATGTTCAAAATCCAAAATAGTCGATGTGAGCTCAGAGGAATGACCATGTTTTTCAAAAAGAAAATCAGAACAAATATTAGGAAATTGTGTAAATCTGTTAAAGGGGTGGAGGTCTGGAACAACTGTACAGAAAACCTCAAATTGTGCACCACTCTCTTCCATTTTATAAAGAAGTTTAAGTGTTTAACTCTTGGCAGATACATGAATTATGATGCGTAGTTTGTGCTGGAGTACTTTGTTGTTCTGTTACTGATTTGTTTGTTTCCTCTCGCTGTATTTATAAAGATGAACTGGTTTCAAGATGACGCTCTGACACAGGAATAAAGGGTAAAGTCAGAATAAGGTCAAGCTTCAACCTCCACCTTTTTTACCTTAATATATCTGTATTATAATTGTTCTCAGTAAAAGTAGATTTGATTTGAACTTGTTTAACTCGTAGTGAACACAGGGAGGTCATACATACAGTTCCTTGAAACATGGAAGCATTTTTCCTGACCACCTTTTGAAACTTTTTTCTCCACACTTGGCCTCTCAGACTCTTACAGATCTGTTGTATATTTAATGTTACTCACCAATAAACTCACTTCTCAGTGTGTGTGTTTTTGTGTTACTCTGTTCACATAATCACAGCAGAAGTGTCACAGTTTAGTCCAGGTTTAACTCAGCTGAGTCCTGGATTAGTCCTGCACACCTCACATGCTTTTGTCCTTTAGTCCTGGTTTTGGAGTGTCTTTTGTGCAAATGTCAGTTATAGATCTAATCTATGACACCTCTTGATCATTATGTTCTAATTTGGACATTTTAACAATATTGATCTAAAATAACTTGATTCTGACTTCTGCGTTAGAAAACTGTTGACGTGGCCATAAACACAAGGGTGGAAAGTAACACATTACATTTACAGATGTTACTGTAGCTGAGTAGTTTTTTCTGAATTGGTAATGTTTTAAGCAATTTTTGAAATAGGTAATTTTACATTTTGACCCAAGTATTTTACTTCATTTTCACCACAGAATGTTCAGTCACTGCACAGAAATGAAAGTTTTTCTCAGATCATCTTGGGTGATGTTGGTACCGAGTCACAGATTGAGGTCGTCATGGACGATATTCAAGTAAAAGGTGCACTGAATAATTTTCGAGAGGAAAGTGAAGGAAACCTTTGGCCAAACCTCGGGCAGCAAAGTGCAAAATAGCATAATAATGGAAGTGTTAAAACAGTCAGTGTTAAAACAGTCAGTGTTAAGCTCAGTTGTCTTTAAGTTTGCACTGAACAGTTTGTCTGTGTCACCTAAAAGTTGATTCAAACAACTTGTTCTGGATTAGATTTATGACTCATCCTTTTTACATCAAATTACTGAAAGTAACTAAGTAACTTTTACTCAAAGTACTTTTTTGCTTTTATTCGAGTTGTTTTTTAGATGGTCACTTTTATTTTTACTTGATTAAGAATTAAGCAAAGTAAAAATACTTTTAGTTAATGACAATTTTTCTGTAGTTTTTCCATCTCTGCGTAAACATCATGACACCAAAGCGTTGCAGGCTGTGGGCTCCTCTTATGGATCCAAACCAGGACTAAACCAGGACTAAACCAGGACTAAACCAGGCTGTAGGCTCATCCTATGGATCCAAACCAGGACTAAACCAGGACTAAACCAGGCTGTAGGCTCATCCCGTCAAGAGCTGCACATCACACTACAGCAGAGTTTGTTTTATTTTTTTACATTTGGACCAAAATAACAATGTGTATCACCCATTAAGAAACTCAAACTGGAGAATGAAGTGTGGACGTCACAGCAGGTGTTCTTCTGTGGAGCTAAAAACAGGAGGAGATCTCTGACGTCTTGAATCCAGGAGAATAAAGATGACTCAAACATGAATCATGAATCACTCCAAATACAATGTCAGAGGTCAGAGAGAAGAAATGAGCCTAGTCCCTGGTTTAGTCCTGGTTTAGTCCTGGTTTAGTCCTGGTTTTGTGCTGATTTAGTATTGAATTTGGTCCTGGTTTATGCGTGATTCAAATTTGGTTCAGTCCTGTTTTGGTTCTGATTTAGATCTGTTTTTGTCCAGGTTTAGTCCTAATTTAGACCTGGTTTAGTCCTGGGTTAATCCTGGTTTAGTCCTGGTTTAACTCTGGTTTAGTTTTAGTTCAGTTCTGTTTTAGTCCTGTTTTACTCTTGGTTTTGTTCTGGTTTAGATCTGTTTTTGTCCAAGTTTAATCCTAATTTAGACCTGGTTTAGTGCTGGTTTACCTCTGGTTTACTTTTAGTTTAATCTTGCTTTAGTCCTAGTTTAGCCCTGGTTTAGTTTTAGTTCAGTCCTGGTTTAGTCCTGTGTTAGTTTTGGTTTTGGTTCTGATTTAGATCTGTTTTTGTCCATGTTTAGTGCTGGTTTAGTTCTGTTTTAGTCCTGTTTTAGTCCAGTCCCAGGTCCTGGTGCAGTTCTCTGTTTAAACTGCTGGCGTGCTCGGTCCTATCTTTATCCCCTGGTGGCAGGTGTGGGAAGTGCGTTTTTATCTCTCAGTATTTTTAGTGAAGTCGACAGCTGCAGCACAATCCCCCTCTGCCCACTCCAATGGAAGTCCACACTCAGAACTCAGCCTAGACCTGCGCCGGGACCACCGAGACCCCTCCGAGACCCCTCCGAGACCCCTCTGAGACCCCTCCGAGAACTCAACCCGGACTAGCTGACCTCT